CACGTGCGCACCTTACTAAACACAAACGATCATAGAATAATAAAATCTTGCATCTCGCCAAGCCGTGCTAGTATAAAACGGAATACAGTAGGGGCTATATCTCAAAGCGCCAAAAATCTACAATATTACGTAGATATGGAATTAAAATATTATTTTATTAAAAGAAATTGTTATATTTTATTGCCATATACTAAAATGATTCTAAAATAAATAAAGTAGATTTCTAAAAATTAAAATAAAAACGAATTCCAAAAGTAACATAATAATATTAAAAACAAAAATTCAACGTAATAGAGTTCAAATATTCCACCTCTCTCTGCGGAGCAATAACCAAATCTGTTGTACAAAGATAGTCTCATATCCCTGAGCAGTTCCGGTCTAATGCTTCCACAAAGATGAATTATTTTGTCCCTCAATTCCGCTAAATTTCGGGCTCTTTTAAAACCATGTCGATAAACACTTGTTTTTAAATATCCCCAAAGAAAAAAATCATTTGGGGATAAGTCTGGTGATCTGGGAGGCCACTTGATCGTACCACGAGAAGAAATTAATTTATTTCCAAAAATGGTTTCTAAATAATTTTGAACTGCTCGTGTATTGTGAGCAGGACAGCCGTCTTGCTGAAACCAAATATCGTCAAAGTTGACAGGAAGTAATTGAACTGCTGGAATAATTTGATTTTGCAACAATTCTAAATATTTATTTCCCGTTAAATTACCATCAATAAAAAATGGACCGACGATATAATCCCCAAAATACCTGTCCAAACATTAAGTTTTTGGGGATACTGTGTTCGTACTGGAATACTCAAGTGTTTATTATGCCGAGACCAATATCGTACGATAGAAGGATTATGTTTCCGATGTAACGAAAATGTCGATTCATCGGTAAACAAAATGTTTTTTAAAAAATGTTCACTTTCATTTTGTTTATTCATCATCAGTTCACAAAATTCCATACGCTTGAAATTGTCCTCGGCTAATAACTCTTGAGTTGTTGAAACCTTAAAACAACGATAACCATTCCGTTTCAAAATATTCCTGACAGTCCTATCATTCATGTCAACTTCTTCAGCAATAGTTTTGCTTGAACAAGGATCACTAGTTTCAGCAAGACTACAGACATCAATTTCCCTATTTTGCCTAACTTCGTTGATTATTTTCTCTCGTGGTAGATCCGTACATTTTTGACAGTTTTGTACACAACCAAACGATTCAAATTTTTTAATAATACGACTAATAGTTGATTGTGTCGGTATTGGCCTATCTTCATAGGCACAAGTAAATAAATTTATAATATCACGGTACGAGTTGCCCCACAAATACCATTTTAAAATTTGTACTTTTTCTTTGTTTGTATACATGGTTTATGGTTAGAAACACTACTTTTATTTCAGCTTATGGCGTTATAATGAGAAGCAAAGCAAAGGGCATGTATTTGTTTTGCTCGGCCAGTGATGTTCCTTGGGACTGTTGCCAAATCGATAGATACCTTCGCAAAAATCTGTAGATTTTGATGTATCATATACATCCTTTTAAATTTTAAATTATCAACAATATTTGGAATAATAAATATATTAAACTATACACTAACCAATTCAAATAATATCTAATGAACACAAAAAAATTGTTATTAATAAAACATTGTTATTATCTGCACAAAAACACAGAAAATCAGTGGACGATAGACAACAGTGTCGACGTACACCTGTCGAATACGCTTCTAGAAATCGCGAAGGAGTAGCAATCCAGTCGAACAAATGAATTAATTATAAGACATCGCGACGTTATATTGAAATTTACACTGGGTAATTGCAGGTCAGGGGATCTTAATAATTGTATTAATAATTCGTATGTTCCGTTTTGAATCTTCCCAATATGTATATATATATATATATGTAAAAGATTATATGTAAAATTTTATCGAAAGCGGCTATCGCTAAAAGATTTAATCTTTTACCCATATTTGCATAGCACAAAGGATACAGAAAACGATATTTTCATATCGTTTTATTATTATTTTATATGTTTATTTTATATTGACATTGTCAATGTCAATATCAATGTCATAGATTTGTGTATAATAATTAACTTTGTGTGAATGTTTAAAGTAAATTTTTTAAATTTTAAATATAGGAATAGGTTTTAGCTCAACAGATATGACAGACTGTGATAAATTTTATCAACATTTTTTATAAAGTCATTTATGATACAATCTCATTAAGTTTCTCCCTGATGAAGGACATAACCAATGTCCGAAAGCTTTCATTTTTATTGCTGCATACCCAATATTTAAAGTTTACTTCCTTACGTGTCAGCAAATACTTCTGGTTCATTGTATATATATAAATATATATATATATATATATATATATATTTTTATATATATATATATATATTATATATATATTATTGTGATATTTAAAGTCTTAGTGCTCAAATCAATTACTTAGCTAATTAATTAATTAATTAATTAAAATTATTTAAATGATATGACTAGGATTCTATCACACTTTTAATTCTCTTATCTCAGGGTTATATTCGTGCTTCAATATCTATGCTATTACATGTGAAGGTAAGGTCCAAAGAATACCGAATAATAAAAAAAACATATAGGATCTAACACTATATATTGAAATAAAAAAATGAAATAAAATTCACACTCAAATGTTTTCAATAAACAATATCTCATATAATGATTCTTAAAATTTTGTTCTACGTACGTGAACCTTCAAAATTAATGGTACAGAAATATTAGTTAAAATCTCAAAATCCCAATTATTATTCTTAATCTCCAATCAAAATATTTATATCTTTTCTAAAGTAATTGAAAAAATTTGTGTTATCAACAAAAGAAAAACTGCAGAAAAACAAAACGATCTCTCTCTGATGATGAGTGGTCCAAATCCTTGTTCTCTGTGACCTATACTATCTATTCTTAGCAGCTCCCTAGGTAATCAGCAATCTTACAACAAATTGTTGCAAGTTTGTCGTCCTTAATGATCTCCTTCAAATGCACGAATCATTCAAATTATGATAGCCTTTTCTCCTCTCGATAAACTGAATCTCTCGTTGGCCCGAGTGAAAAATGACTCTTGCAATATCTTCTCTTTACGATAAACTGAATCTCCCGTTGGCCTGAACAGTGACTCTTGGAATATAAGAGAAAAATATGACTTACAATATTTTGCTGCTTCAGCTTCTGTCAGATACACTAACTCCACAAAAACTCACTAACATTTCAACACTACTGCTTGCTACCTCTCGGGAACCACCAGAGAACAATGACTGTTCGCCTTGCACACTTGGAAAACCAACTGACTATCTTTTTTTCTTCCAAAACTAACTAACGTCTCATTCTCAACCAAACCTCCCACCTTTTTCAATCTCATCCAATCAAAACGTGTCATACATCTCCCATTTCTTCATTTCGATAATACAACAAATTTTTACCTACAATTATAAAATTTCCTAAACTAATTTACAAAATTTCTTTTCCTACCAATTCTTAAGAACTAACAAACATATCTTTCTAAAATCTATTCTATTGTCCTAATTACTGCACAAATGTATTTTGAAAAACCGTTTCCATTGTCTAGAATTTCACTTCAGCTTATTCCACGTCATACAAATATATTTTAACAAAGAAAATAATTTATGCATATCTTACGTTTTGTTAAATACAGGTAATCCAAAATTAAAAGACTTTCATTCTTCGAAATGTTTGTAGTTTATTGTTTGACTTATCTGAATTATTTTAATGTTTTTGAACTTTGAAATATTTTAAGCAAACCAATCTTTTTCTCGATTTTACATATCATAACAATATATAAAACATCCGTATTCAAACAAAAAAAACCCAGTATCTTCTGCTTGACTACATATAAAGGCAAAATATCAACAAAAATAGCCAAACACATGAAAAAGAAAGCAATAAGACCAGCTTTTAGAAAAAAACAACAACTTAGGCAAATATATTAAAAAAAATAAGAGCCAAAATAAAAAGCTCTTACACAGCGGTATATAAAAATTTAAATGTGGCGACAGCCCAATAACTTATATCGGTCAAACTGGTAGAACTTTTACCAAACGTATAGCAGAACATAAAAGGGCTTTCTATAATAGAAAACAGATTCTACACACGCACTTTACCTTCTAAATCATAATAATTCTTTTAATGACGAATTTTAAGTTCTTCACATCCATAATAAAGGCCTTAAGCTACCTTTATTAGAATCTATGGAAATTAACAAATTAAAAAATACAGACATAATTCTGAATGACCAACTGGAGCCAAACAGTTCTCCGCTCTTCAACCTATTCAGTTAAAGACTATAAAATGTAAACGTATGACAAAAATAGATCATTTGAGAAAGGCACTCTGCCGAAACAGCTGTAGTGATAAGATAAATAAATTTTGTGGAAGTTTTGGAAACAAAGTTTTCAGTGTTATATTCTGTTATTTCTATTAAGTAACGGTCGAATCCATCACTTATGGTGTAAATGTCTGGTCGAAGACATCAAGAATAATTGTTTACTCGTCTCTGGAAGAGGTGGAGTGATCCCTTCTGCTAATTTAACTAAAGTAAAGAATAATTAAGAAGAAAAATAGGAAAACACCTACGTGATGGTTAAAAAGACATACAAGACTGAAAAAAGCAATTGCACCTCTCTTACAATCGAAGAGAGTTCGAATAATCGAACTCTGAAATTGAAGTTTGATCTGTTTGATACTATGTATTTTTATCATATTAATAGCTCTTGTAATAATGTACCATACAGAAGAAGAAAAATAATTTGGCGTAAATCGAACAATATAAACACAATTAAATTGTTGCAAGATCACACAGAAATACAGAAAATAGATACTTATAGAGACACTCGGTAGCTTGAAATTGGATATCTTTGACACGACGAAATCCAATAAGGCGTAAACATGCCATTGATTAAGTACATATCATAACTCTCTCTTTCGTAAAAGGGTCTCCAACCTCATAAATAATTGCTGGTTATTGAAAGAAAACATTATGGACGTAAACGAAAGAACTAATCTGCTAGATAGAAACCGTATTGATGGATTATCCACGACGTTCGCGATTATTTGTATTATGGATGTGTTCGGGGTGTTTCCTGTTGTTACGTTGCCGAAGGCAATTATGGATTGTGGTAAGTAAACACAATCTGTTTAATAATATCACAATAAAACATTTTAAGGTTGCTGTTGGCTACATAGACAATAATAGTTTATATATTTTTTATGTCTTTCGTATTTTCCAATAATTGAATGCTATACTGGAACAACGTTGTAAACGCCAAATCACATTTTGTCGAAAAATTGAAAAAAATACCTTATAAATCATTATTTTGAAAAAATATATATTAATATCAACAAAATATAACCTCTGTTTATACAAAACAAGTATTTATGAACATAATATATGTTATATTTTAATAAAAACGTGTTAAATAAAAAATGAAGTACACGTGAAAATAGTATTAACAAATTACTTATAAATATGTTTTATATGACATACATATCTAAATAATATTATTCAGTCTTTAGATTTTGATAGTAGCTTATACTGCCCTGCTTAGTAAAAACGTCCGATCTACAACTTTCGTTTTTTCTTAATAAAGTTATATTCCACTACTATTAGACATTTACCATATTATTAGTTAGTCAGAAAGTACCTATCGTACAAAATCATAAATTTGTTTGTCCTTTCTACAACTAACACCTGTTGTGCTTAGAATAAACATCCTATATGCCAATTACTTAGTTAACGCGTCCTGTCTGCATCAAATTGTGAAGATAGGACTTTTTAGTTAAGTAAGTCGTGTTAAAATCATTGAACTGGTGAAATTAATGTTGATCTAGAGCATTATACGAAATATATGACTAGAGTCATTGACGTTTAATTTCCTCTTAATAATTAATATTTTACCAATTAGAAGCAACAAACGCTACTATTATTTTAACTTCAGTCAGTAATAACTTTATAATCTGTTTCAGGCTACTATGGTTTTTTTTGTAATACTTACAGTTTGTACAACACAAGTTTATACTGCTGCTTTACTTGGACGATGTTGGGTTATCGCCGAAGAAATTCACCCCTCAATTAAGACCAAAAACAGATATCCTTACGCTGCTTTGGCAGAAGTTACTTTTGGAAAAAAATTAGCGAGTACTGTTACATTTTTACTAGACCTTACAGTTTTTGGTGCTGGCATACCAAATCTTATTGTTGGTAAGATTTTATGAAACATTATTATTATATTCATGATTTTCTATGTACAATATTTAGCTTCTCAGAATCTTCAACTTCTGGGACAAAGAATTAGCAATGGTAGCGTCGATATTTCTTATTGCTTCTGGATTATTATGGTAGGGACGATATTATGTCCAATTTTGTGGTTTGGAAGCCCTAAAGATATGAAGTAAGTATTATGATTTGATTGATGAATGATAGTTAATTGACAACTAGACTTTGTATAATATATTTTTCTGTTAAATGATGATCGTTATATATTTCTTTTCTAGATGTTTATGCTCTTTATCTGTTTGTGTAGTCACATCGGTCTTTTTGTTAGTCTGTGGATGCATTTTGTTCGACGCAAATGAGTCAACTCCACAACCTGCGCAAATTGATAGCACATTTCCGTGGAAAACCATATTAAAAGCTTACGGAATTTTAGCTTTTCAGTTCGACATTCATCCGTCTATCCTGACTATACAAGTTGACATGAATGATAAATCGCAGCTGTCAAAGGCGATCGTCGGGGGATTTTCAAGTAAGATTTATGTTCTTTATGTGTATTTTATTTTTTACATTATTTCTTGAGTACTGTTTATTGCGAATAATTTTTTTTCTTGCATATTTTGTTATCATAGAAACTGACTCATTTATTTCACAGTTTTTTTCAGTACACTCTGCTGTATACTGTATATCTGGTCATCTACCAGCCATAATATGAATAATATATAGTATGCAGGTGATACAGCAAACGAATAAATATAAAGAAATACAGAAATAAAATTGAGAAAAAGAAAAATAGTAGTCAGAAAAGAAAATACAAGTAAATATATTGGGGAATAAACATGTTACCAAGTTTCGCCGCAATTAACTAAGTTAATAATTATACAGTTTGGAAATCACTTATAGAATTAAATTGTTTGTGTCCATTATTTTAGAAAATAATAACAAACGTTGAGAAACCTTAACTTTTAAATTTAAATGTGCCTCTTTTTAAACATAAATTTGAATGTACAGGGTGATCCACGCAAGTCTGGCATAGTCCATAATCTGTATTTTTAAATAAAACACCCTGTAATATTTTTATGTTTTTAAAAGCTTCTTAATAATCTGATCTTAACGAACTCTTATTATGTAGGGTCTATTACGAATAATACAAGGTGAAATTTTGAAATTAAGTATAATTTTCTTCAAGACAATTAATTCATAGAATACCCGAGGTAACTGATTGGATTACATTAAAATAAATGCTCAAAATGTTTTCCACCTTGTTGTTGGCAATAACACAGTCTCCTATAAAACGTTCGTCCCGAACTTTGTTTAAAGTTTGAGGTGAAATATTCCGTATTTCTGCAGTTATTCTTTCTTTGAGGTCTTCAATGGTAGTTGTTTGTGTTGCATATACTTGAGATAACCCACAGAAAAAAATCCGAAGGCGTAAGATCTGGCAACCTAGCTGGCCACTCAAAAGTACCCCTTCGTCCAATCCATTTATTGAAAAAGATCTCTTTTAAGTAACTTCTCACCATTAAAGCATAATGGGGTGTTGCACGGTCCTCCTGTTTCATGCGTAAGGGTCGGAACTATTCAATTGGAATATAAGTTAGCTAACTGAGGAAGAACATTTTCTCTTAACATGCTTAAATATTTTTCCGCTGTCAAATTACCATCTACATAATATAGGACCAATAATGTGATCTCCTATAATACCTGCCCAAACATTCAACTTTGTCCCACGTATCCAATGAGGATTCTCCGCTGACCAATATCTACAGTTTTGTCGGTTTACCTCTCCGTTCAATGTAAATGTTGATTCATCAGAAAAAAGAATTGTGCAAGAGCTATTTCATTTCTGTTAATTGTATTATTCTTTCGCAGAAATACATTCTACGATCTGAATCGTCTTCTGTTAGCTCCTGCACAAAAGTCAATTTCTATAGATTAAGTTTTTCTTCCTGGAGACACTTTAGGACAGTTGCGTGACTCACATTATTTTGACGTGCAAGTTGACGTGAACTTGATGTTGGATTCTCTGCGACACTTAACAAATTATCCACTTTTATCTTATCTTCAATGAAGTTCGGTTTTCTTTTTTAATGGTTTGACATCTCCAAGTTCTCTGTGGGATCATCAAAGAAATTGCAGGTTATACCTCATTATAACCTTGGTAGACTGTACTATAAAAAAGCACAATTTATAAATATACTAAAGAAACAACAAACTCTCCCAAACAGCCCCAAAATAAATTACAGAAATAGTCGCGAACCTCCCCTGAGGAAATGAATCAGAAGACAGAAAAATATTTCAAGACACACATTCAAGTGATACTTCGTGATAAAAGAATAATCAGTAAAGCAAGAGGTATGAAATATTTTAAAGGCTAAGATAATTACCCAGTAAAGTCATTTATCGCAAAAGCTCTACCAATTAAACAAAGGTTAAGCAAGCAACTCAAATGTGCTGTGGACATGTACAAATGAGAATGGAAATGGCGGCGGCGCTTTATAATAAAATTATCAAATAAATTAAATTTTCCGCAAATCGCCAGGAAATTTTGACATTCCTGTCAAAATTTCTTGAAGAAAAAGTCAGGACTTCCTTACTGTAAGAACTGTCATTTCCTTACTGTAAGGAAATGATATTTTCCGTACAGTTGTTGATAGAAAACACATTGCTTAATAAGGAATTAATTTATATTTTGAAAACATCAAGTCATTGCTGAATACATTTTTAAGATCAATTTGTTATATTTACAGTAATTTTATCTTTTATATTTTTATATAGATTCCAAAAATTGTCAAGTTTGACAATTCAACCTCAATACGTTTCCATAGTAACCCAAGTATTTTATTAGGAATTTCAATGCACCATTTATTTGGAATAAAATTATCGCGTTTTTTTTTAAATCAATCAATATCTATCGAATTTTAAACGATTAGCGGAAAAATAGTATGTTTACCTCGTAGGAAAAGCCGCATTCCTGGACTCTGTGTTGCTAAGTCTCGACTTGCGCATCGACTTAGCAATCTTCACAGTCGTCCAGGAATGTTAAGCTTTTCCTACCCGGTAAACAATGTACTATTATTATATAACTCATAGTTTTCGCTTAGCTTTCTTACAATAGTTGGATAATGGAATTAAACTAACTTTTATTTCCGTAACTTTAGGTATGTTTGGAATAACTACTCTTCTTGCCTATTTAAAATTGGGAATGCTAAACCAACCTAGTATCTTGGAAACACTACCAACAACAGTTTTCCTGCATATAACAGCAGTTTTGGTCGCTATACAGTTGTGTCTAACGTCAGCTGTAGGTAATAGCGCTCTTTATCAGCAAATGGAGGATTGCATGAGTATTTCTAGAGGTAGGCAAAATAAAAAATGCTTTTTTAGTGAGAATATAAATCTGAAATGTTTGTAAATATTTATTATTTAATCGGAATTAAACCTAAACCGTCTATTTTATTTTTAATGTTTTTTTTTTCAAATTATAAAAGTACTACTTATTATTATTATTCATCAACCATTTTCCATAAACTCCTGAATGTAGCTCTCTCCTAATTAATTCTATCTTTTCTATCTTGTGCCAGTCTAATCTACAGTTTGCTTGCCACTGCTCTTATGTAATCTACCCATCTTTTCTGAGATCTTCTCATGCTTCTTGTCGTCCTCTTTGGACCTGTTATCAGCATATCTGGCTATGTGATCGGCTTAACGACATTTCATTTTTTTAATTTCTTCCACGATATCCCTGTCTTATCACAGTGTTTCATATTTAGTCTCTCAGTGGTATTCCAAACATCACCGATCTTTAAAAAATATTTTTTATTTATAGCCACAAATTACTGGAAAAACATTGGAATACAAAAAAATTTCTATATGTACTGTAAATATATGACTAAAGTCTTTGACTGTGTTCGATTAGAAGATGAATTATAATTCGTTATCATCAGTGACATCACAGCTCATTATTACCAAAGCTTTTTTTGTTTCTATTAACTGTTCTCCATATTCTAACTACAATAGATTTTAGATCATTCTCTAAGTTCGGTCAAAAACGTTTTCTGACTGTTGAAACCTTCCTCTCATCGGATTACATCCCCTCTCCATGCTACTTTAATGAATTTTATATTGACAGGCTCTCCAAGCTTCCATTTTAAGGTTGCAACGCTTATGCCACAAACCTTGCTCTTTTATTCCTCCTTATATTCTTCTTAGGACTTTTCGCTCAAAATGTTTAAGCAGTTAAAACATTTTTTTTTAACTATGGTATATAGCCAACCATTGGTATTTTCTGCTTTATTAGTTTAAGCATTTGTCAGTTTTTCTGTGGAAGTGACCACGTTTCTGCTCATATGTTAGCACTGGTTTTATTAATGTTTTATAGACAATCAGTTTAATTTTTCTGGGTAGTTTTAAGGTCATCTGTCTTCTCAATCCATAGTAACGCTTATTGGCGTATATGAAAGGGTCCAGACCTTCCAGTTCTAAATAGTCAATTATTTTTCTTTATTTTTCTGGTAACTTGACTTAGTACAATCATATATTTGATCCTTTAGACATTTACAGTCAATCTCATTTTCTGTGCAGATGCCCTTAAACTAGAATACATCGATCAGAGAGAGTCTGTGAACCTAGCTAGGATGTCGATGTCATCTGCATATCTGACAACTTGTACGGAGTTGTTTAAGGTACCTTTACTAGAGCAGGATTAAATAAAAGACAAAATAGCCCATCTCCTTGTCTTAGTCCATTTTTGCAATGGAAGATCCTTATAAGTCTTTGAAATCCACGAATATATGGTGGGTGTTGACGCCGGATTCTTGTGTTTTTTTCAAGAATCGGCTAAGATCACTGTAAAGATTGTTCTCGTTGAATTTATTGGATCGGAAGCGGCACTGATATATTCCCAGTATTCATTCAGCGTAGGGAGGAATTGGTGTGTACAACACGTTGGAGAGTACTTTATGTGCTATATATATTGAGTCGAATCGTACCTTTATAATTGTAATAGACTATCATGTCTTCCTTTTTGTGAAGTGGAAATAATATGTTTGATGTAGAGTTTTTCTTTGACCAAATCTACTTATGTGAGTTTGTTTTGATATTTTTCATCTATAAGCATTCAAACTCGCTTATTACACCCTGTTATTTTTGAATCATCTCATCAGTAGTTTTGAGTCCACTGTTGAACATAGGCCATCCGTAAATAATTCTATTGCATCCAATCTTGAGCACCTTGAATCCAGTTGTGCTGGATCCGCTTAATTTTGTCTAAACACTTTTATTTTTATTGTTTTTGTTTTATTACTGTTTCAGTAGTTGTCACAAAGTTTCTTATGTCTGTCCTAACAGCTTTTCAAGTGGTTTTATTAAAATTCCTTAGCTCTGCAATATTGGTTGTGTGCTTATGTTTCATTGCATTCACTTTTGTTGCCTTTTTTTTCTTTCCTCAGCATTACAAACGTTCCATGTTACAAAAGCTTTATTCTTACTTTGTCGAATGTTTCCGTCTTTATTTATATGACGTGTCTGATTTGTATCTGTTTGTCGATCAGATAGCCAAGTGGGCTGGGCGGCCGGTTCTCATTCGCTTCACTGCGAGTGGTTCAGTGGATGTGGGTTCGATCCCCAGCTCGGTGTACAGAAAACAAAAAGGCTAACGCAGCAGTTTAAAATTCTAGATGAATCTGCGGCTTAGACTAGAATATGCTGGTATCTGATCGGCCTATGGTGGAGCAGTACGGCAAGAGATAAGGGCTTGCGTCTCGGTGATACTCCTCCATAGATCCCTACCGGAAGGGCGTGCCGCCTAAATGCCGGTGTATGTATATATGTGTCTGATTGTCGAGGCATACAATTGTTAGCATTTTTGTTTTCTTTTTGAGTAAAGAGGTAATTGCCTCATACCTCAACCCCTTTATACGAGAACTAGGTAATTCCTCGTAAAGATGTTCTTCTCTATTCATGGTTGAAAGTTATTTAGTAGCTGTTTGATCATTAGCATTTTATTTTTTGCCATCTACTCTTTAAAGTATTTGGTTTTGTTTAGCCCACTGTACCCTAGATATCAGCCATTTCAGCTAAACCCTGGTTGTTTATAGATATTTTCTGGATCCCTCTTTTTTTTTCCGGACTTGCAATCCTCAGAATATGTTCTGTCTGATACTCCCATTTTTTACTTTCACACATTCACTTAAAACTTAAACCAAATTAATTTTCATTGCATAATTATTTTCCAATTAGACATTTTTTTTTAGATTTCAACCATAAACGTTGCATCTTACGAACAACACTGACTATTTTGGCTATCGTAATAGCAGAATCAGTCCCACGATTTGATCTGGTGATGTCAATAATTGGAGGAACTCTTACTGGACCCCTAGTATTTATATTGCCGCCCATGATATTTCTAAAAATGAAATCGATGAAGACATCCTATACAGAGCAACTTGCACTATCGTCTTTTACAAACATCGTATACACAAAGAATGTGGGATCTCCAAGAATGACTAAATATATTGAACGAAAATTCGAAGAAAGCTTTTCTCCAGAAACGGATCTTGCCAGAAATTGTAGATGGTGTTTTGAAAAATATGTTGAAAGTATTTTATGTGTTATGATAATAGTTTTAAGTATTATTCTCACTTTTGTTACCACTTATTTTAATTTTACCAGTGCTGTGTATTCTTATACAAATGTCAGCATGCCTTGTATATATAACGTATCCCAAGCTTTAATATATTTGTGAAATTAAATAAAATTCAATATATTATTATAAACAAATTTGTTTAATTTGCGGATCATCAAAAACTTATTGATAGACAATTTTAACAACACAAATTTTATTTAAACATATTTATAATCTGGGCGCCAATATCGATATGTATTGACAAAACTGTTTGTTAGCAAAGGACCCGAAAAGCGACGGGGCCAGATGAAATACCGAGTGAAATAATAAAGCTCTTCGAAAGTTCCAGTAAAATATCTCTCTTTCATTTGTTTAATAAAATTTATGAAACTGGCTATATACCAACGGATTGGCGGCTGTCGACTTTTGTGACGATACCTAAAAAAGCAAATGCAAAAAAATGTAGTGACTACCGAACCTCAGCTTGATGAGTCATGTTTTAAAGATATTTCAATATTTCTACGAATTTTGCACTCTGGGATGTACCAAAAAATAGAACAACAACTTGGTGACACACAGTTTGAATTCCGCAATAACTTTAAAAGAAGAGAAGCACTATTTAGTATTCAGGTTATGGTACAGAGATGCAGAGATGTCGGACATCCAGTTTATATGTGTTTTATTGACTTTGAGAAGGCCTTTGATCGAGTAAAACATACTGAAATGATAGCCATTCTTCAGCAGGTAGGTATTGATGATAAATACCTACGCATTATTAAAAATCTTTACTGCCATCAACGTGCAAACATCAGGATTGGCCGGGATACTTCTGAAGAGCTTCAAATACGAAGAAGGCTAAGGCAAGGCTGAATTTTGTCACCGCTACTATTTCACATCTATTCTAAGTTCGTTTTCAATAAAGCAGTGAATATTGTATTAATTACAAGAAATTACGAAGAACTTTAACATCTAATTAATAGGATTACCAGAACGTGTGATGAATATGGTCTTAAGCTAAACACCGAGAAGACAAAGGTGATGATCATCAGTAAAACGCCAATACAACCGGAAGTGGTAACAGCTTATGGTGAACAACTGGAGAAAACTAACAGTGTCACTTACCTTGGATGTAATCTAAATGAGAATTGGGCCATGAGCAAAGAAATTAGAATACGGCCAGAGCTGCATTCTTTAAGATGAAAAAGCTGTTATGTGGAAACAGTATTACTTTAAGTCTGAAAATTAGATTAGAAGTCGTCAAAACAGTTAAAAATCGCAAACTTGAATATTTTGGCCATGTAATGCGCCACCCAGAAAGATATAATATATTCCATTTAATAATACAAGGCAAAGTGGACGGAAGAAGTGGGCCAGGTCAAAGAAGAACGTCATGGCTTGGAAACCTGAGAGATTGATTTGACAGATCCTCTGCATCTCTTTTCCGAGCTGCCGTCAACAAAATAATTATAGCCAATTTGATAGCTAACGCTCGATAATCGAGCACGGCACATGAAGAAGAAGTTTGTTAATAATAAATCTGTGATCGCCAATACGTTTTTTTTGGTGTATAAAAATACAAAATAATAGTTGAAATACTATAATTAAAGATATCAATTATAGGTGTAAAAGTCTGAACCCACAGTTACAGCAGCCATGCCAACGATGCAACCACATCGAGTGAATTATGAGGCACATACATGAAGACTCCGCTCAAGCTATCGCCCCTCAGCAAAACAGCCCCTCAGGTAGGTCAAAGGATCTACAGTCGCGAAACCTGAGCATCGAGGTTACGTGCAACAAGCGTGAGCTCGATGGCCAGACCTTTCGGGCACTCATCCGGCGAGGAATACAAAATTGGTTTGACCGATTTTGGACTTGCGTCCCAAAAGTGTGATCTCTCCGGAACACACTTTTGGAACGCAAGTCCAAAGTCAAGTAAAATAATTAATTCAATCAGTAAGAAGAAAAGCTCACCTAGCTACCCCTAAAATTAGGTGGCCTAACCATACAAAGTAAAACAGGCAATGTCTCATTACCGGGGTATCCAAAGTAACGCTCAGTACAAAAACCTTCCTATTTGTAATGTCCTGCGATGAGGAGGCTTCCCTATCTACGTGAATTTGCATTTTTTAGTGAAGTATTTTTGATAATAGTGCAAATAATTGGTGCTAAATTCATCGAACATTTTTTATTGCCACTTCGACTTAGAACTTGTTTCGATGAAGGATTATTTATTACAAGCATTCATACTTAGCCAATGTCTGTCTCTCTACTTATGTTGTAGAAAGGAAACAAATCACAACAACAGGAGAAAAATAAAATACTCGTTTTCTTTATGGTTTACAACGAAATACTAACAAAACTGGAGTAGGAATGATGTTTATTACAACAATAAAAAACTCTCATATTGAATAAAAATCAATTTCAAAGCAAATAATTATTGGAAAGATTAAGACCAAATTAAAGAAAGGTACCACTGATTCAGTGGGTAATGTTTGTGATAAAAATGGTCCTATGACATTCTGAGCAAAAGTGTAATGTTTGTTATCCTTACCCTCGGGACACAAGTAGCATCTATGTCTTACAATTGGCATTTCTGATCTGGTCTGATCTTAATAAGTAGTTTTCTGATGCTTTGAAAATTATCGACTGTAATTCTCTAGACATATTTGGCATTGCAAACCTTACTTCTAAACGTTCATTTATAAGACTGATGACATTTATAAGACTAAAGGCTATCGCTGGCATCTTCGACCGAATGATCGATGAATCGACATCCTCATGATTAGGCTTTAGACGAATGTACAGGTATCTTCTTAATTAACACTGAGCTCGGTAATTTTTTCAATTGTGTACTCTAAAATAAAGGTGAACATGTCAGGAGTTATAAGAAGTGACCAGGATTCAAGTAGACTGGATAGTTTTGTTTCTAAGGCAGGTCCAAGAAGACCAGAAAAGTGTGTAATAATGTTCTATATGCGAGGTTTTTGATGGTGCCGGAGAATTTTTAGCTCACTTATTAATGTTCCATCCATAGCAAAAATTTGTTTCGTTATTAGATGCTGTTTTACATTCGTCGCTTCATAAGTCAGTTACGTCAATTTCTGAATATGTATCGTGATCCAAGTTTTCACTTTCACTGTCAGTATCACTGTTATTAGAATCACTACACATATGTCCAAAAGTTTTGAATATTGGAATATTTCATCTTTTTATTGATTTTTATATATACACTCTTCTGGATAGTTAAACATCATTTTGTTTCAATTCTTAACAATACTAAATAAATCTCAAAACCAGATAAACGATATGTAAAAAAATATTTATTCTCTTGAAGTAAACATTTAAAAAATAAATTAGTATAAAAAAAAATAATTTTTAATAAAAACTAGCATGTCAATAACGTTCATGTCTGATGAATTCGAGGGCCACTGTAATGTAGATATTTTTTCTTCTTCCAGAAAATTGTGTATTGCTGCTGTTCGATGAGGAGGTACATTGTCATGCATAAACACAAATCCATCACCTACTGCCCCTCGGAATAGACGTACAGAAGGATTTAAAACTTCCTCGATGTACACAGCCTCAGTGACTCTTCTCTCCAGAACCAGCAGTGGCGTCCGTGTACCACTCATAATACTGTTACCTTCAAACGGGACACGCGGTTGGGCTGTTTCTGGTCGGGCTGGTCGTCCTGGAATTACATCAAGTTATTCCAGTTAGGACCATGACGCAGCATTTTTCTAGCCCATTGCAACCTTACTATGTTGTGTTGGTACACGTAGCGGTTTTCTACGATACAAAGTTACCGCATTTCTCTGGATTTATAGACGATTACAGACGCTTGTAGATTACAGACGAGTTCTATGAGCTATCAATGTTATTTGCCAGTCTTATGCTGCTGTTGTACATCAACTTCTACCACTTATGGGACCATCCTTGACATCATTTGTATCTTAGAAGTTTTCTTAATTTTCGATACAGAACTATGAGTAACATCAACAATATTCGCGATATAACTTTGTAACAAAGCAATTACTCTAGATCCTGTTGTAACAAAGCAATTACTCTAGATCTGTGAAAATGAGATATCACGTTTCTAGGCATTTTTAAACGGCTCAATTCAAATTTAAACAAAGACTGAAATCATGTGTAAATACGCTAATCAGTTGAATGTGACCAAAAATCATACAAAAACGAATCAAATTTTTTATCATTTTCATTTAAAAACGCTCTAGAATAAATAACAATAATTTTAAAACCATTATAGACGTAGATATATTACGTATTCCAAACATTTGGACATGTGTGTATAGGATTCAATATTTGAGAAAGTCAAAAATATTATCACTTGTCACCCTACTTCTGTTAACTCTTAAAGACATTTTAATGTATTATCTTAAATAATAATAAACTAAACACTATGGTGGGGTCAAAACCAACTCAGCAGCACGTGTGCACTATCCCACTGATCCTTTGCTATTAGGGTTAAATATTTTTCTATATCCATTTATAATTGTTCCGTCTATATATTTCAGCATATTTGTTTTCACCATCCTATCTTTTCTTGTTATTTCGCTGATTTTCTTATGTGTATTCAAAGAGTCATATCAATCCCTTTAACTTCAATCAATTGCAATCCCTTTTTACTGATTCGTCAACCATTTTTTCTTTGGTTCCTTTATCTTTTTTTAATTTCCGTGTCTATGACTTTATAGTTATTACCATTTACTACTATTGTTATTTTACTATTTACCATTAATATGTCTTCTGACATGCATTTCTTCGTTATCCGTGATCTCATTTTTTAAATGTCTTCGAATTTATCGTTTATTTGGAAGGTATTTTATCTTCCTTTAACATATTTAGTCCTACATGTGGCACTGCATGGCGACGATGATCAAGCCAAAAAGCGTTAAACGTGCTTTTTCGATGCATTTAGATATGTTAGCTATTTTTGAAAAATTTAGCCACTGACCAGTAAAATTTACAACTAGCCATAGTACTGGACAGAAACTGTCCATTATAAATATTGTTTATAAATAAAAAAACAAATTTCAAACATTAAAAACTTTATTGCTAGACTAATACAAGCTAATATATTATAATCTTAGAATAAAATACTAAAATAAAAATAAATTATTTTTTCAATTTCTACCCAGATCGCTTACTAAAATGAAAGTAACATCTTCGTTCTGAATTTTATCTGGGTAAAAAGCTATAGACAACACAAGTACATTAAGTTCAGTCATTAAATCATCGCATATTGCAGATTTTTTGTTCAAGCGTTCGCTAGATATGAAAACAAGACATCCATGACCCAAGAAAAGAGGGTTAGGTTAGGTTAAGATCCATGACGTCACAACTTGGCAGCATATATGATGTAAATACAAAAACAAACTCTGCAGTATTAACCAACAAGAAATTATAAATACAATTATATGGTATAGATTGGTACAAATTTTCTAAAACAATGAACAAAAACATTTTTTTGATAAAAAATATCATTCACCAGAGTACCAAAAGTACTTGTACGGCTTTATTTTTTTGTGATGCAGCAATTCTTGGTGTAGATATAATATCAATATAATACTAGAAATAACCTCAACTTCCTAAACTATTCCATTGAGAATTATTTCACAAAGTTGATAATCTAGTTATTTTGGTAAAGATTTACCATCCATTATTTCTCTTGATTAATATATTCTTGATTTTTTTTTGGCTAATGGAGGTCTCATGTGTTTACAAAGTACAAACTAGAAACATATTGTATACAAAGACAAAATAAATAAACTGGAAATAATGTAAATATTAGTTGCACGTTATTTTTCTTCTAGACTGTCAAAATCTGCATTACACGATGATTCTAAATCACTTTAAAAACTCTAAAGGTCGAAAAGGAAGAAGCCCCCGATAGACGAAACGGGTGGTTGTCTGGGCAATAATACTTTGTTGACGGTGTGTACGACTCCGTTCGTCGCTAAATTATCACAGCTAGTGACTACTGCTCTGTTAACGCGGATTCTACTTCCAGTGCGGCCTACTTCTATCTGCGTATTGGCCAGAGTTGAAATAAAGCTGCTAAAACCCCAGGAATGTGGACCGACACCTGAGCAACACAGAACCTCTGAAATTAAAAAAAAAATAGATTAAATTAATTTATTAAATCAGAAAGAGAAAAGATCAACTTCGGTATACAGGGTGAGTTCGAACTATTGGAACATAGACTAGAGTATGCCCATTACACCAAATATGACTTAACAAAATGTTGCTGTAGATACAGTGTGTCAAAGGTACTTTTTTTTGCTTTTTGGTAATCATTTCACTGTATGTAAATTCTTTAATTTTTATTAAAATTGGCAGGAAGATATAACATTAAATAATGAATATTAGATTTCCGCGGTTAATACAATTAAACCTAAAGCTAAGATTAATACTATAACAAGAATTAATATTAAACTCAACAGTTTTCTATGTTGAACTGCGTCGAGCTTTCGACATCCTCTCTGATGTCATCCTGAGGGCTTCCGATCACTAACCGATGTATTACTGCTATTGGTAACAGCAGACGGTTCATTTATACCGTCGATGGTGACGTGGTTTGAGTGGAGGTTATCGTGGGGATTAGCGTGGTAATTGGCACGGCGGTCAGCGCGGACATTTCTGACGGTAGGATTTTAATAGACGCGTGGAGCGGACGATATTTTCTTTATAAAGGTCTCCATGTCAAAGGTAAGCAGATGCTGTCATCTGTTTTATTAAGACAATTTGACTTTTTTTTTGGAAAAAAGACCAAATTTTATCCTTCAAGAAAATTTCATTCCTCAATAAAAGCATGGCTTTATCAAGGGTCGTTCAACGATCACAAACGTACTTCATTGTATAAACGATTCGTCATCATCTTTAAACAATCAAGATTCTGTTAATGTCTACTTAGACTTCACCAAAGACTTCGATCGTGTTCTCAAACGTCGCCTCGGTTACTATAGTAGAAGCCACAAATAGAATGCAGTGCAGGTAAGATAGGCAATGTATTTCTCAATGGAGAAAGGCCGAATACGTTGCCGGTTTGTCTTGAGCGGCGCATCAGGACCAGACTTAAGAATCATAGTACTGGAATATACGCGTACATAACAATTGCCTATCATCATCATCATTGGCTTTTACAACTCTTCGTGAGTTTTTGCCGCGTTTACTATTGCCTTCCATTGATTCCGATCCTGTGCTATTATTTCCCATGGCCTTACTTCCATCTTCTCCAGGTCTTCCCTGACTGCGTCTTTCCACCTTTTTCTAGGCCTTCCTGTCGATCTTCTTACCATCTGGTCTTTCCCAAAACACATTGCTAATCAGTCTGTCGTCATCACTCCGTACCACGTGGCCTGCCCATCTTAATCTATTGGCTTTTATGTATCTTACGATGTTTCCTTTCCCGAAGAGAGTCTCTATTTCATTGTTGTATCTGCTCCTCCATTCATTTGTCACGCTGTCCCTGCAAGGACCATATATAGTTCGCAGGATTTTGCGTTCCCATACTAATAGCTTATTGATTTCTTTCTTTCTCAATGTCCATGTTTCACTTCCATATGTCACTGCTGGTCGTATTATGGTTTTGTACATTTGGATTTTGGCACGCCTTGAGAGAAGCTTTGACCTCATTAGATGTTGAATGGCAAAGAATGATTTATTCCCCGCCAGTATTCGTATTTCAACCTCCCGTTCTCCTGTGTTTTCACTGGTAATTGTTGCTCCTAGGTATTTGAATTCTTTGACCCCTCAAAATTATGATCGTTTATGGTAATGTTTTGTCTTATTCGCTGTCGTTCCTTTTTTGATACGACCATGTATTTAGTTTTTTCTTCGTTTATTTTCAGGCCTACGCTTAGTGTTGCTTCTTCAAAGTTCGATACTATATCCTTAACTTCCAGTGTTGTCTGTGCTACTGCATCTACATCATCTGCAAATGCGAGAATAATCTTTGCTCCTCTGGCAGTTATGTCTGATAGACCGTGAGGTAAAAGTGAGGGATGGTAAACAAGAAGTTGCAAAATTGAACTGGAGATTTGCCGGACACAATATAAGACAAAAAGAAGACCGATGGAACCCAATTCTTATAAGTTGGAGTACGTGGGAATATAAACGAAGCAGAGGAAGGCGCCAAATGAGATGGGCAAATGGTATGAAGAAGCACGTGGGCTCCAGGTGGATGACTGTAGCGACAGACAGAGAAGAATGGAAAAGGATTGGAGAGGCACATGTCCAAAGATGGACCGAAGAGAAGGCTGATTAGATAGATAGACAGACTATATCTACATAGCTTATCTAATCACATTTGAAAATCGACATCTTTAAGGTGACCTAAGTATATCGTTTCGTATAAAATATAATTTTGAAAACCTAAATGCCACATTTACTTTAAATAAAGATGACAGATTAAGAGGCCATTATTACTAAAGGGAACAAACGACAGCAAGGTACTGGGTGAACTTCTTGCCAAACAGAATATTCAATATCTGAAATAATTTGGATCAAGACACCATATCGGCAACTAGTGTTAACATGTTTAAAAATAGATTTGTGGGCATAACAGGAGCTCGCTCCTCTGCCTTTGTTTGTCTTATAATAATAATAATTAAGAAATATTATTACATTCTTATTTAACATAACAAATATTTTCATTAAAAATACAAATATCTAGATATATAATATCGTTGCTAGCCATAACAATTATTATATGCCAACATGACAGAAGTCATTATTTTATAATTTTCGGTAGATTATTTTCTAAAAATGAATATTTAAAATTTTATTGCATCTAACACATTTGAGTGTCAATATTAAATTTTATTTCATTAAAACATGGGAAGCAGCCAAAGCAAATTTAAACCAGGACCCCATGATTGTTGGCATAAGATGAAAGTGATCGGCGGCCAACCCAAATTTTTGCAATGCGCTTTGCAGGCTATAGTGGACCTCCATGAATCAACAGGATCTTCCCAAGGAAGAATAATTGGTAAATATAGTTCAAAAAATATTTCAATATATATACAAACTATTTTTTCCGAGATTTTGTCAAAAACATTTTAAATAATTAAATATTATATTTCTAGACTACATCCAAGGTGTTATCAATGCCAAACAAATACGTCCAAGGCCACGAAACATTGCTATGCAAATAAAACGAGCTCTAAAGTACGCTACGCAAAACGGCATGGTAAATCATCGTGGAGGAAGATATGTGATGGCACTGTCTGACAAGGACTTTGCCATTTTCAAAGGTAGGATTTTCATGATAGAAAGACATTTTGAAAACAAGATATGTATTAAAATTTGTAAGGATACAATATCTAAATGATTTCATAAACTTATTCTTTCAATATTTAAACTCTTTTAGAAGTACTTGCCATTTAGTCTTTTCTTCTACAGTTTATATTTCGTATCAATATCTAGGACTTGCTCCATAATATTAATATCAATACGGTTTTTGGTGTGAAGATTTAGCCATCCCTTTATTTTTCCGCACCTTTATATTTTCCAGCTCTTAGAATGTGCAAGAGACACCAATGTGAGCATTTCCGATTAGTATAATCTTGATGCTAATAATATTCTATTTCTTCCTTCTTGTATGAAGACTTTAAAACCCAATTCTTCTTCAATATTAGCCTCCTAAATGGTTTAAATTATCGCACTATCTTTTTCTTGATCTGCCAATACTTCTTCGTCATTTGGTGACTTATCTCGTGCTATTCGTACTATCCTACCATTGCTATTTATAATGTGTTCGTTCCACTCCTGTTTCCGTTTTTTCACCCACCCATTTATATCTTCTATATTGCATGCTCTTCTTATGTTTTCGCTTTTCTCTCTAGCAGACTTTTCCCTGTTATTCATCATGAAGTATTTTCATCTCTGTTGTTTCTAGTAGTCGTCTCGTTTTAGATGTGTCAGATCTTGACTCCACCGTGTATGTTAATATAGGTCTAATTGCTGCTTTATAGATTCTTGTTTTTGTATCTTGTCTAAGTGTTTGTTCTTCCAGATTGTGTCATTAAGAGATTCCTCTGCTTTACTTGCTTTTAAGCTTGGTTGTCGTACTTCTTCTTCAACATCACCGTAACTAGTTATATCTATTCCCAGATATCTAAACTTTGCTTAATGCTTTATTGTTTTCCAATCAATTTCGATATTATATCGTAGTGGGTATTTAGATGTTGTAATATATTGGGTTTTTGTGCTGATATTATTATATTGTATTTCTTGGCTATTGAATTGAAGATGTGTGTTAATCTTTAGAGCTCGTCTTCTGTCTCAGCGATTAATCCGGCGTCGTTTGCATAACATAATATTTTGATATCTTAGTTTCCCATTCTGTAACCATGAATTTTACGTACTGATTGTATTATTTAGTCCATTATTATATTAAAGAGAAGTGGGCTTAACAAGTCACCCTGTCTGAATCCACTATGTTATATAATGTATTGTATACACTGTATTAGTTAGTGGAAAATTTTACGGGAGGCCTACGTTCAGCTGTGGACAAATATGGGCTAATTAATGATCAGTTTTCCATTTATCTTTGCCTGTATTCGATTATGGAAGTAGATGTTTTTGATGGTTTGTAAAATATTGAGTGGTATGTTTCTTTTATACAGTAGGTGTAAGACGTCTTCGTCTTGAATGCGATCGAAAGCCTTTGTTAGGTCTATAAAACATAGATGTGCTAGTTTGTTGTACTCGATGGCCTTTTCTGTGATTTGTATATACAATATATTTGTATATACAAATACGGCTTATACGCAGAATCCTTCAGATCTGAATCCTTGTTTATCTGATAAAGTTGTTAGTTGATTGATTAGATAGTAAACCTAATTCAAGTTGACACTATATCAGTGTTTGATGAATTAAGAAAACTTCCAAGCAAATTCTCCTCAGGGTCTGATGGAATCCCACCTGTATTATTAAAGCACTGTCTATGCTCTCTTACTATGCCCCTAAAATATTTTTATAATTTATCTCTTATGACTGGTGAGTTTCCTCCTTTCTGGAAGAACAGTTATATTGTACACATTTTTAAGTCAGGTAAAAGGAAAGATATTGAAAAATACCGAGCAATTTGTATACAGTCACCAATCCCAAAACTTCTCGACAAACTAGTGACTTCTCACTTATCAAAACTATCAAATAATATAATAATACCCCAACAGCATGGCTTTCAAAGGGGGAGGAGGACAGCGTCAAACTTGTTGGTATACCAAGATAATATATTATGGTGCCTTTGAGAGGAAGTACCAGGTGCACAGCATCTATACTGACTTGTCAAAGGCATTTGATAAAGTAAACCATCGTTATTTAATCAGTAAATTAGGAGCCATTGGTATAGCTGGCAAATGGCTTGATTGGTATGATAGTTTTCTTGTGGGTAACACCCAGAGCATTAAGATAAATGGTGTGTTGTCTCAATCTGTTGACGTCCTCTCTGGAGTACCACTGGGTTCACATTGTGGTCCTCTACTTTTTGTCCTCTTTATTAACGATGTTGAGAAAGTCATTAAGTATTCAAAATTTCTCAACTTTGCTGATGATAAAAAAATGTATAAAGTCATTACTTGTCAGTATGAGCAAATTCAGCTACAAGAGGATCTCAGCAGATTTAGCGATTGGTGCAAACTAAATGAAGTATAATTGAACATTGATAAGTGTTGTGTTATTACTTTTCACAGGAAGCAAACAATTTTAAATTACGATTATAGCATTGATAACTCTTAGCTGTCTAGGCAGAACTGTGTTAAGGATTTAGGTGTTTATTTTGATTGTAAATTAGCATTTCGTTAGCATCTAGAGGTCACAGTAAATAGTGCATTTAAACAATTAGGGTTTATAGACTAGAAACACTTCTCAATTTTCATGTTTTGTTTTATCAATTATTTTTAATAGTCTCATTCGCTCCAGACTAGAATATGCAATAGTTGTATGGGGACCTTACTATCAAACTATATACCTATAGACAAGCTTGATCGTGTTCAGCATAAATTTGGTAAACACTATCATTACCGTAGTGCTTTTCATGACCTCTCTGTCCCATATAGTTATAGTATGATAGCTGATCACTTGAAAATGGTTTCTATGAATCGGCGAAAAGATTATTTTTGCCTAATATTCCTTTACAAAATTGCTAATAATTTGATAAATTGCCCTGAACTTTTAAATCGATTAGGTCTTAACATTCTTTATGGAACTAGGCATACTTTATTATTTCATCTACCATTTTATCAATTTAATTATGAATACTTCAAGCCTCGTACTCATATGGTGAGACTATATAATAGGTACCAAAGTGATCTGGACTTATTTTTCCAGTCCTTAGAACAATTTAAAAATCTGATAAAGAGACTGCTATTTGTATGATATTAGTTTGTATTCAAGTTAATTATTAGTTATTGTTAAACTTTATTAATTATTTTCCAATGTTATGCCTACTTCGTAAAATTTTATATATTATATTTTGTTAAAATGTAAATGGTATATCCGTTAATAAATAAATAAATAAATAAGTTAGCTAAAGTGTGGTATTCAGTAGACTAATACCTCTATAATTGTTGGGATCTTCTGTATCTCCTTTTTCGAACATTGGTATTATTATGCTGTTTTTCAATGCGTCTGATAACTTGCAATGCAATATTAGTTTTTGTATAAGTTTTGTCGTTTTACTTTCTTCTTACTTTACGTTATACTTTCTTCTCAGTGTTTTAGGAGCTCGTTGGTTATTCCATCTGGTCCTGGTGACTTTCTATGTTTGAATGAATTTATGGGTATCTCTACTTTCTGAAAACTGATTTTTATTTCGTGTCTTAGTTCAGGTACGTTATTGTGTTGATTATTATTTTCCTTTCCTTTAAATAGTTCCCTCAGGTATTTTTCCCATTCGTTTGCTGCTATGTTATTGTATTACTTTAATTCTGCCATTTCTTTTCGTTCGTTTCTTTTAAATATCCATAATAGTTTTTGTCTACGGTAGAAGTCGCTTTTCATTCTTGTTGTAATCTGTTCCCAGTATTCAGTTTTTTTCTTCTTACCAACTGCTTTGTTTCATTTTGTATTCTTCTATAGGTATCTCGGGATTCTGGACTATTTTATGTTTTGTACAGGGTTTCCCAATAGGGACGTCCTGTTTTTTGAAATGTCTTAGCAGCCATTTTGAAAATGATGGAACTGTCACTTTTTGACGTTTGTATTTAGTATACTCTAACAAATTACCATGGCAAGATATACGCTTGAACAACGTTTGGAAATTATCCTAAAATTTTATGCTAATAATCGTTCTTTTGTGAATACCTATAGTGCATTACGTGAAAGTTATGGACGAAATGATCGTCCTGATGTGCGTGTAATTCGTCGAATCGTGGAAAAGTTTGAACTTGAATTTACTTTGCAGGATACGAAACCACCAACTAGACGCCGAAATGCAAGAACTCAGGACAATATTGCTGCTGTAATAGCCAGTGTAGCGGAGAATGCAAATGTGTCCGTACACAAACTTGGCGAATTCTGAGAAAAGATTTAGGCCTACACCCTTACAAGATTGTTCTGACTCAAGAACTGAAGCCACTTGACCATCATAAGCGTCGTTTGTTCGCTGATTGGGCTCTAGACAAACTCGAAAATGATGGCGATTTTTTCAAAAAAATAATCTTTTTCCGATGAAGCTCATTTTTGGTTAAACGGCTTTGTGAATAAGCAAAATTGTCATTTTTGGAGTGAAAATAATCCACATGAGATTCTTGAGAAACCTTTGCATCCAGAAAAAGTCACTGTGTGGTGTGGTTTATGGCATGGTGGCATCATCGGACCTTATTTTTTCGAACATGGTGTAACAGTTAACGGTGAAAGGTATCGAACGATGATAACGGATTTTTTGTGGCCTCAGTTGGATGAAATGGATTTGGATGGCATGTTTTTTCAACAGGACGGTGCCACATGTCACACTACTGCCCCAACCATTGATTTATTGAACGAAAAGTTCCCGGAAACATTGATTTCTCTTGATGCCAGAGATCCCAGGAGAATTCAGCAACTTCGACCAGATGCTTGGCTTCCAAAAAGCTGCGATTTAACACCATTGGATTATTTTTTATGGGGCTATCTTAAGTCATTGGTCTATGTGAATAAACCACAATCCATTGAAGACTTGAAGAGGAATATAGAGTACACCATTCGTAAGATTAATGCGGATATTTTGCATAAAGTGACCGAAAATTGGGTTCATCGGATTCACTCCTGCAAACGTAGTAGAGGGGACATTTGAATGATGTGTTATTCAGAACATAATTGTTATCTATTATATTTTGCAATAAACTTTTATTTTTTGATTTACAGCAATTTTTACCATTTCGTTAAAAAAAACATCAGGACATTCTTATTGGGAGACCCATTACTTCATGTACGCCTTTCGTTTCTCTTTACATTTCTTTTTTATTCATTTTTTGAACCATGGTGTATTGTTGTTGTTTCTTTGGTTCAGTATGTCTTTGCGTTTTCCTAGAGCTTCTGTTGCTACTTCTTCAATGTTGTTTTTAATTTTATTCCAGCTCGTGTTTATATCTTCGATGTCGTCTATTTGTTTCAGCTGTATCCTCTGTGCTAGCCTCTTTTGTGTCCAATAAAATGGGCATTTTATTGGGCACTCCCTGTATACAAAATTTGGTCTCTTGCTACACTTAGGTCGGTACAGATAAAATAATACAACTTTTATTTGAAACTTTTTTTGTATTCCCGAAATTTAGGAAAATAAATAGGGGGTCAAAATATAATGAGAAACCCTGTACAGTCTTTTCTCATCTTCCAAACCAAAGGTTAAAGTTACTTCCTACACTGTTTAGTCATAGTCTATCTCTAGGTAGTGTCACTACTTTTATTTCTTATTTTTCGTTATTTTTTCCCTCTATTAAAAAAAAATGTTAAGAAAAGTATGTAATTTCACATATAATTTTAGTTGTCATCTTATGAATATGTACTAATACTTTTATTTCTAGGTCTTCGACCAAAAGATCCCATTAAAGTGAATGTCAAGCCTAGAAAGATAGTACGAACTCCAAAAAAATCAAAACGCCGTCATCCAAATATAACAAAAAGTATAAAAGATACAGCAGTTTAGACTATGATGATTCTTTGGAAGACGCTCGCATAAAAAGTAGAAAACGAAGAAGAACCTATAAAGACGAATTTTACTCCACTTCGGATCTAGATAGTCTCAGTAGTTTTAGTGATGATGAGTCGCCTATAAGAAAGAAAAGTAAAAAGAATTTGGTTAAAAGCAAGAGTAAAGAGTGTGATAATTGTATAAAGAAGGAAACTGATTTAGAAGTTAAAAAAACAGAAAACCACAAGTGCACAAATAATATCGTTTAAAGCCAATAGTAATGAAGGTAATAATAATGTAATCAAAAATAGTAAGGAAGAAGTTAAAAAAACAGAAAGTAAAAAAAATACAACGAATAAATCTGAACCTACCAGCACAGAAGGTAAGAAAGAAGATAATATTAAAAAGAACGAAAATGAAAACAAGCCTACCGTGGAAGTTAAAAAACCCAAGGAACGCAAAAAACGGACAAAAAAGAAAGTTACCACTGCGAATACAGAAGGTGATAACAGTGTAAAAAATGTACCTGATAAGACATCTGATACGAAATAAATTGTCAAACAATATTTTGCATTAAATTGTTATTACTCGTTTGTAAACATGTTCTTGGAGCTTGGTAAAACTTGGTAAACTATATTTACCAACGACAAAAACAAGATGAAAATGCTTTGAACTCAGTTCTTATGTTTGTATACTAAGCACAGCACTCTTACTTGCTTTATACTATTGAAGCATTGCTCTTCTTCTTACGGTGCCTATTCGTTCTGGATGTTGGTGATAAGCACAGCTATCCTAACTTTACTTGCAGCTATTCGTAATAGTTCGGTTGTAGACATATTGAACAATTTCCTTAGGTGTTGAAGCCAAAATATTCTTCTTCTCCCTGAATCTCCCTGAATTCTTCTCCCTGGTCCCCTCTTTCCAAATACCTTGCCCTGAAGAATGAGTTGCAATAAGCCATATATATGTTTATTATTCCTCATAACATGACCAAGATATTCTAATTTGCTCTCTTTGATTGTGTTAGTGATCTCGCATTCCTTGCCCATTCTACGTAGGACCTTAATATTAGTCACACGATCGTGAAATTCGTAATATGCACCTGTAAACACCATATCTCGAAGACTTGGGGCTCTCCTAAAAAAGCTTCAGAGAGCGTTCGTGCCTCTACTCCCTATAATAATGTAATAAAAATAGCATATCATAGGGATTTTGGTATGAAGTAGTAAATCGTAACTTATTAAACTGGAGTTGTGACTTGTCTGCCAAACATCCAACTCTTCTAGGCTTGTATAAGCCTGCAGCTTCTTTAACTTTTTTGTACGTATTGAATAAATAGTGTTTATGTTGTATTGTTCTCTTAGCTGTGTATCCTTTTCTTCTTCATGTGCCGTGCTCGATTATCGAGCGTTGGCTATCAAATTGGCTATAGTAATTTTGTTGACGGCAGCTCGGAAAAGAGATGCAGAGGATCTGTTAAATTAATCTCTCAGGTTTCTAAGCCATGACGTTCTTCTTCGACCTGGTCCTCTTCTTCCGTCTACCTTGCCTTGTATTATTAAATGGAGTATTTCTCTGGGTGGCGCATCATCATCATTCAATCTACGCTTATCCACTGGTGGACATAGATCTCCCTCATAATTTTCCATCGATTTCGATCTTGTGCCTCTTGCATCCAATTCCTATGACAACGTTTTAGATCGTCAGTTCCAACGTGTTTGTTGGACGACCTCTGCTTCGGTAGGCATCATCTCTTGGTCTCCATTCCAGTATCCGCTTTGTCCATCTATTATATGTCAATCGAGCCACGTGACCTGCCCAGTTCCATTTCAGTGTTGCCATCTCTCTACTGCATCAGCCACTCCTGTTCTTTGTCGTAGCTGGCGATTTGAGATCTGTCCCGTTGTGAAACGCCAAGATAGCACGCACCATCGCCCTTTGACACACACGGATCTTTTGAACTGTTTTCCTTGTCATGGTCAACGTTTCCGCACCGTAAGTCAACACTGGCAAAACACACCCAATTAAAGGTGGCGCATAACATGGTCAAAATATTCAAGTTTGCAATTTTTAACTAAAAACCACTAATAATCCTAAACTTCCAGTAGACGTTCCACTCAAACTAATTTTTAGGGATATCGTGTGAAAATTTCTTTTTGGAGATTCTAATACGTCCGTCAATAAACTTTCTTGGTTCCCATTAGTTGGCTATGGTAAGTGAACGACTGATACAGTTTGCGTTGAGTTAGAACGCCTACTGTGAAAAATTGCAATAACTCAATTTTTTTTTAAGTTAAGAGCAGCATTTCGAATCATGTTATTAGTTTTTTCTGATAAACAGCTTGTAGAGATACTATTGTTGGTGTCTTGTTATTTATCTCACTTGACTCACTATACGGCTTATAATCTCTGCTGTTTCTATCATTATTCTCGTCCTGTCTGCCAGGTTGTGTTTCTAGTGCGTATATCATTATTGGTGTGATGACTGTTTTGTAAATTCTGCCTTTCATTTCCCGATATTTTTATTTCTCGATATTGCTATATTCAGAAAACCTGCGGCTCTGTTTGCTCTATTCGTTTTATCTTTCATTTGTTTTTAAAGCTTTTTATTGCTACACAGTGTCATGCCTAGATATTTAAACGCCATCACATTCTATTACTTGACCCTCCAGATCTAATTTACATCTTAGTATTAGTTTCTTTAATTTATACTTTTTTATTATTTCCTCCATCTATTTTTTCTAGTGTCGACTCCACTAATAAAGGTTGGCTATAACCATTGTAAATATTATAATTGTCTCTATCTTTTGCTGTTCTTAAAAGTGTCTGTGTATTTAAGCTAGTCCAATCGAGAATGTTTTTCAGGCAAAATAATTGTCATCTTCAAGGACCCCTTTTTCCTTGAAATTTACTCGTCATTATCAGCTTAAACTATCACTACTTCTCATCTCCAAGTATATGCCCCAAATATGCTGTCTTTCTTCTCTTAACAGTGGTCAAAAGTTCTGTATCTCTTTCCATACTGTGCAATACCATTTTGTTCGTAATATGATTTATGCAACATTATTTTAAAAAGCCACACCTCAAAGGCTTCTAGCTATCACACCAAGTCAACATAAACAGTCCAAGCTTCGGGCAATAAAGAAAAAATAGAGTGGACATAACATTTTTACCATAGGATATCGGATTTGCAAATTAAGACTTTGGTTAGTTATAAATTTCCTTATCTTCAAAAAGGCTGCTGTTGATTGTTCTATTCTTGATCAAATTTCTGATTTCGGATCTAGATCTTCAGTAATCCAGGCTCCTAAGCACTTCATTTTGTCCACTTGTTCAATATCCTTATTTTTTTATCTGGATCCTTGTTATGGCTTCACTCCCTTTACTGATATCCAAGGAGATTATGGTCTGATGGGATATATGCTCCAACGCTTATAATGAAATTTATAATTCTTATATTGGTTAGTATAAAGTTGATTTGATTTCTAATACAATTTTGTTTATTATTCTGTGGTGACCTTCAGGTATACAGTTTACGGGTGGTAATCGATGCTATGTGTTTATAATCGCCATAATTGTTTCTTGACAAAATTGAGCCATGATCTGCCGCCTCTAGCATTTCTTGTTCCTAAACAATAATCACCTATTATATTGTCCACTCGATCTTTTCCTATCTTTGCATTTAAATCTCCCATTATTGTTGTAATTTCTTCCTTCCTGGTGTATTGTAAAAGTTGTTTGAGTTGTTCATAAAAATGTTTTATTTCAGATATTGATTTATCTATAGTTGGAACATACACTTGCACTATATTAATGTCACTGGCTCATCCTGTATTGATAATAACGGCATTCTATCCGAAAAGGGAATAAAATTTACCAAAGCTGTTTAGATTCTCCTGGAGATAATTATCCAAACTCCGTATAGATGATCTCGGGTGTCATTTCCGGAGTATTATATTGGTTTATCCATGAGCAATGTTTTACCGGAACTAGGCCAGCGCATTTAGCTTATGTCCAATATTTCTACGTTCCGTCTGTTCATTTTCTGAATTGTGTTGGGCGTGTTTCTTTGTTTGAACAAGCTCCTTACATTCCATGTTCCAAAATTAAAAAAAAAAAAGTTCTCTATATTGTTAATTGCCACATTTAGGTGGCTCCTCCTATCGAAGAGTTTTAGCACTCCTCGACCATTAACACATTGCCTGTCGTCTCGATCAATGTGACCGAGAAAAAATTGCCCTGCACTCCAGCGATGTCTGTTGACCGAGAATTTCAATGTAACTGTGGTGCTGGCTCGGTCACTATGGCGTGAAAGGAAAGTATTACAAACTCCTCTACGGCAGGCAACGTGTTAAAGGTCTGCCGCGGACTAGTCGCTATGTGAGTAAACGTATTTTGCATGATTATTGTTCTAGAGAAATCTGACCTGAATCTGAGAAAGGATAAAAAAGTGACCTATACCATTGCCTTATCTGTAGCGTATGAGTGTTAATACACTTTGTATTCTAGCTCATAAATCAGGGAATCCTCCTATCTTATCCTAATGCCAGCTTTGATTGGGTCAGTTAGTTCTTCTTCTACTTTTACTTTAATTGTGATTTCTTGGTAGATATTTTCGATCGTTTTGATTATTATTAGAGGTATTTCCCTTGCGTATAGTAAGTTGATAACGTCCTTTAATTTGACTCTGTAAAATTCCTTCTAAAGTCCACGCAACATAAAAATGCGGGTTTGTTGTATTCTAATGATTTCTCTTGAAGAAAAAATTGCTGCTAAAAAAATAAATTGTAGCTAATTCTATTAAAGCCAGTTGGTCTGTGTCTTTTTAACCGACATGTACCACGTGTTAAAAACCAAGCAGGGAGACATGTAGCCCCTAAAATATTAAATTTTATCCAATGTTATGGACCTAGAGTCACAACATAATTTAAATTTAGAATGATGTAAACCCATATATGGATGTCACAGCCACAACTTTATTGTTAGCTTCAACTACATAAGGCACTAAGGATGATCTAATTTGATTGAAATCGTTATGCTACTATATAAATTTTGACGGTACTTTTGTTAAAAGTTTTAACTATATATTTTAATACCAAAATACAATTGTGAAGTGTTTTAACTTCTGTATGTTTTTTAACGATGGTATACAGCCAACTACTGGGATTTTCCCATTAATTTTTATAATTCTACTAAAAACAAAGAACTCGATAGTTAAAATAGGTAAAATGTGCTGAAAATAGTATTCAAATTAGAATGTTAGGACAGAAAAAGTAAAAAATATATAAATTCATACCATAATTATTAATTTTTAAGAATTTTAAGAGAAAAAAACAAAAACAAGAGTATTTATACGTGTATCTGAAAGAGTTTACTAGGAAAAGATACTTTACCAGTTAGCACATGATGCTTCAAAATATGTTCTGCCTTTTTCTTATCCTTCATTAATGCCTCACGATCTTTGTCGTCCAAAGCTGCAAATGTTTCATCTGTAGGAGCTAACAATGTCAACGATCTATTATTTTCCTGTAGGATCTTCTCCAATTCTGTGTCTTTCAGTAGAGTTTTCAGAGTTGAATATCTCTCGTCGTTTTCGATAACTTCCAAGATGTTTCTAGTAGGTGGTACCAAGATTTTGTTGACTTCGTGAATGGTGGAACCGCACGCTTTTTCGTCGAAACCTATCAATCTTGCGCAGTTTACTGTGGCTCGGTTCACGATGTTGGTAAATAGGGGCAACTAAAAAAATATAGAACAGATAAGTATATCTAAGTAGGTATATTAAAGTAAAAACATACGACTAAAAGTTAGGTGAATTTTATATAGATTATAATTAGAATAACAGTTATCTAATAGTGTTATATCAGTTTAGACTAGTTGGTGTCATGGTTGTTCAAGAACAACAGAATATAGTAATGCTGTATATATTCTTGTAACGTTTATGGGATTGCTTCCATCAAGAATTCTATATAGTGGAACTGTAGGGGTAGTTTACCCCTTGCAGGTGGTTAATTACTTGAACTTACTAGTCACGAATAATTCCTTTATTAGTTCTCTAAGTACAATAATAGAGAGTACCCAGTTGACGGATGACAACAATAACTTCGACCCTTCTCTTGATTCTTCATTTTTAATAATAATCCTAATCCCATGATTTTCAGCTATTTAACTCACGTACATTTGTTTATATAATAATGTTTTACTAATATAATTTGTAGACATTATTTAATAAACTGAAACCTTATATTTAAGCTCTGATCTTGAACTGACACTAATCAATGTAAATGACAAGACTATAATCTTTGTGTCATTTTGAAGTATTGTAGCCATCATTACTAAAAGAACATAACCAACGGACCTAATATATGATATGAGGTGTTTATGTTGTTTTTTTTATAACAATCAAATTGTAGCGACAAATTTGATATACATATGATTGCAAATTAATATGTATTATTAGCAATTGGTCCAACTGGAATACTATGTATAAATAAGAATATAAATAATGATAACTTACAGTTGAATAGAGATTCAATCTAAGTTCTCTTCCGTTATCATACGTCACCAACTTTTCGTTATTGTTCATATCTCCTGACTGGAGTTGACCCTGAATTGTGTGATACCTGACGATTTCTTTCAGCTTCTCTTTGTCGTTTTCGATCTCGCTCAATAACTTCTGTCCTTCAGGACTTTCAAAAGCTTGATTACTTGGAACGAATACTGTAGCATTTTGGAGTTCGTTAATTTGTTCTTCTAGTTCAGCCTTTTGGATGAGTTCCTGGAATTTGGTGTAGTTTTGGTGTTTAAGTACGTTGCCAATATAAAGACCTAAAAGTAATTAATTAGGTATTAAAAATAAATAAGTTAAAAGAAATATAAGAAATACTTTATAATGCAGGAAAAATTTATAAACACAAATGGCAGGAGCATGGGTATTAAAAAGTTCTAAAATGTTCTTCTTTTTCACTTGGATTTTGTGAAATTATTCCTATCAATTCTCTTATAAAGGATCATTGTGGTTCTAGACTACTATCAAAGTTAACTAAATTTCGGAGAATCGTTAAAACAGCGAATTTCCTAAACCTTTCAATATTCTATTAAATCTTTTATGTAAGGCTTCTTCCACTACTTATAATCGGTTAATTTTTTCTAGGTCGACTAGAGCTTTTTTCAATTAGTGATTTGTTTTGAAATATTCCGTTCCATTCTTCTTCTGTACGGGTTTCACTTTATTTTACTTCAGTTTTGTTTCTTAGATATATCTTCCAGTACCTATCAGTTTTGTGGTATCCTGTAATATTTGTCTATTGTATATGGAAGTACTCCATACGATAGCTAGTTTGTCTAAAGCCTTTTCTAAGTCTACATCCGCAAGAATCTAATGGCTTATTGTTTTTATTTTTGCTGTAACAAGTTTTGATAAAAAGCAGACTGATAATAACTTTGAAAGTTTAACTTTATCATCATATGATACAAACAAATGGTTGAAATAATCCCTTCTTCTTTCTTTAGGTACCATCTCCTTTATAACCAGGAGGGTGATAATGATGACTGCAGCTGTGAACAGGTCAGCAGAACTACATTGACTTATTTTTCTAAGATGGTTTAACTAAAAATTGCTCATTTTTCGAATACTCCGTGTTTCTTTTAATATACCCTGCATTATTGTTTTAAGCTAGGTATATATACTTGTCTCCTCTCATCATATTATAACCGAGATTCTACAACTTGATTATCTTAATCGTATGTATTTATCCCTTTTCGGAATTCATTCTTATGAGAACACTCTCAAATGCTTTAAATCGATTATCGATTGGTTTCTGTCACACCACAGAGCTGCAAGTAAAATGAATCCCAATAACGGTTTATAATGTCTTTTGAATTTTTACTTATACCAATTATTAAAAAAAATTAAGATTATCATTGGTTAACTTCGAGATGCAAAACAACTTTTCCATCCAACTTTATTTAAAAATAGAAAATTTCACTGCCTTCGTCTTTCCTAATTAGCTTAAAAAAGAAGTGTTTCGAACCAATTACGCTTTCGAAAGTACTACTAGCGCCATCTGTTAGAGGTAAAGAGTTTTAGTTATGGTCGTAACATTATACAAAAGATAATGGAACTAAGAAATTCTAGATAATGACAGAAATCTTAAAATGGTTATGGTCCTCGACTCTTACAGGAGTAGCGGTATTGCCATAAGGCTGGAAAGTTCGATGATCCCCGATTTATTTCAATGGAGTTGTAATATAATTGTACTATATAATCCATTTCCTATAAAATATACATCAAATTTTGTATTTTACCTGCATCTGGAACAATTACAGCATCGACCAAATGAATAACACCGTTGGTAGCAATGATATCAGTACCAACCAATTTTGCTTTCCGTTCTAAGATCAGTTCATCATCAACTGTTCTTTCCAGATTCAACAAATCTCCTTCAACGTTGTGGGTTGTGGCATTACCAATAATGGCGGGAGAACATACAGTATGAGCAGTGAAATGGAACTTCAAGATACCTAAAAATTAATTATAATTTTTAATGTGAAAGAAAATCTACTTTGTCTAAAGCTGTTGAAATTATATTTTATATTATAAAAGGGATTGTTTAATAAAAAGTTCTATAGAACGAGTAAGCTTGGGGCTAAAGTATTAATGTCTTTTAGGCAAAACCAAATTTGTTAAAATAAAAATCCATTTTTGAGTTATAAATTATTTATATATATATATTATATATATATATATATATATATATATCCGGTTTTTTTAGGCGTTACGCCCGTCCGGTAGGGATCTATGGAGGAGTATCACCGAGCCGCAAGCCCTTATCTCTTGCCGTACTGCTCCACCATAGGCCGATCAGAACCCAGCATATCCTAGTCTAAGCCGCAGATTCATCTAGAATTTTAAACTGCTGCGTTTAGACTATTTGTTTTCTGTACACCGAGCTTGGGCTAGACCCACATCCACTAAACCATTCGACAGTGAAGCGAATGAGAGGCAGCCGCACAGCCCGCTGAGCTATCTGACCGACTATAAATTATTTACAATTCGAAAAATTACAAAAATGATCATTTGCGCAGTTCCAAAACACAAATAAAATTATTATTTTTAAGATAAGCAGGAGTAATTATTTTACATTGTTTTATTTATTAATTGGGCCCTTTAAAGCAGGCATTATTTTTAGAGAGACAATAATAATATACAGAAAAAATATAAACAGTAACGAATATGAAAAAAGAATTATATTTATTCTTGTGGGACTAAACCTAATACAGAAAACGAAAAGTTATCTTACTTGATGCACATCCCGATCCTCTCAGAATTTTCTGCTTCTGTACTTCATCCAACTTGTTAAATGCTTCATCGGTGGGTGCAAATACGGTGTAGTGTCCATCTGGTTTAATGTGACTGGGAATGTCCGTTTTTGATATAGCTAAAACAAAATTTAATCTAACTTTAATAAAGATACTTTCAGCAGGTACCTGAGCAGAGCAGCAAATTAATACCGCGTCATTATAGGAAATAACCTTATACCAGAAGTAAGCAATACGCAATCGCCCAATACAATCAGAAGTGAAGTCCAACAGAAACTTATTAACCAGCCTGAAACGAGAGATTAAGTCTATAACCAACATTTCGAGCAGATATCTAAGTTTACCACACAAAAATCTTGACCTAATAATGCTCAGCAGTCCAACAACAAGTTATATGATGATCTGATAATCGAAATGGCATATGGAGAACAAGAGTTTATTTGTTTAAACACAATTCGCAAACCACCATTACTAATACTAAACTTTTGCGGGAATATCAGCGCTCTACTACAAATTAATAATACAAATAGCTCATGCATTGATTTGCATGTTGATATTCTATGCAGCAATAGCAATTGCTAATATTGCGGACATTAGGATCAGACCATTACGTAAGGCTAACATCGGAAGAACTTATCAATGAATGATATACTTTAAACATTAATGATTTTGGACGAGAGACAGAATATATTCGAAGGTTGAGAATCAGAAAGGTAGGCAAACAATCAAAAGAAATAGTAATTCTAAGCACTATCATGCACAAACAATATGAGTTAAGTAACAAGACTGTTTAACAGCACCTAAGTACATTAAAACAAGACTCTTATTTTATTCAGACCGTCTAAAGAGATATAAAATCACCTCACTTTTTAGAACTACAAATATTGATGTCAAACCCAAAGAAATGAATCCATATTAATTCTAAAGGACGACCTGGATGATTCAGCTAGGTCAATGAATAGATATAATACCTAAAAAGTCCCTTAGATTTAATTCTTTTGATACCTTATCTGGGATGTTCTAATTTTGCCCTTGGACGAAGTGAGAGCATATGGCTTAAAACAGGATAAGAATAATAATAGGATATATATTTATATGAAAGTACAAATATTGGAGTAAGTATTTCTCTATATTTTCTTGATAATTTTTGGTGTTAATATTTAAGGAGACTTAATCATCTTTATGAGTAAATAATTGAGTATTACAAAAAGAACTTACCTTCCTTTAAATTAGTCAATCGGGGATGAGTCTTAATAATGGTTTCAATGTCTTGGGTAGCTGGAACAACAACGCCATCCGTGACATGGATGATACCGTTTTTGGCCAAGACGTTGGGTGTTTTAACTCTAGCACAATTGACAGTTACTAGTCTTTCCCTTGTGTTTGTTGGATAGATGTTGACTCTGATAGAACTGTTGTTGTTTTCACTGCAAAAACAATCAATTTATTAGGCTTTATACTAATGTTAATAGAGTTTGTACAAGGAATGTAATAACAGAACCACAGTAGGGCCTCGCTTATCCGGACTCCTTCTTGTTCGGTAACCGGCGGAGCAATGGGGTTTCTGCACGGGTGTAAGTTCGAGGGCTGTCATGAGCCAACCTGATGTTAGTCTTTTGTTTACCGCCTTTCGTGTTTGTACAGTGTCAATTTAGGACGCTCGCTAACATCAAGGTGCCGCCACGTAAACATTTAACATTAACAATAAAAGATAAATTGCGGGTTAGAGAAATGTTAGATAAAGGTGACTGCTACCCTATCATTGCTTGGAGGTTTGGAGGTTAGGTTTGATATAGGCATGTCAACCGTGGGCGACATAAAGAAAAACAAAGACAAAATCTTAAAGTTTGTAAGCCTAACAGAACGTGGTCCCGTTGCACGAAAAACAATGAAGAAATCGGAAAATCCCGTTTTAGAAGATGCTTTGTTTACGTGATTTTTGCAATAAAGACGATGATATGTTCCTGTAAGTGGTGATATAATTTGTGAGAAAGCTCGTGTTTAATGCAAGCGGGGGATGGTTAGACAAATTTAAAAGCGTCACGAAATAAGACCTATTGGACCACGAAAAGAACTATTGAATGCTAGTCCAGAAGTAGCAACCCGCCATAACAACAAAAAATCCAAAATAAGTGCAGAATCGAAGAATATGCTGAAACAACGAAAAGAGCTCCTGTCACTAAACAAAAGAAATACCACAGAATGCAAAGAACTTAATCGAGCCATACGAAAACAGATAAAAGACGATATTAAAATACATCAACAAGAACATGTAGAAAGAGTGATAAAGAAAAATTGAAGTCTGAAATATACCAAACCGAAATTAGGAAAGAAAAATATTAACTGTGAAAAATCAACAAGGCCAACTAGAAACATTCAAAGCTCAGATATCAAACATAGTTGAAAACTTCTATACTGAGTTATACCGCTCAAGAAACGATCCCCCCGACTCTTCAAAGCAAAATCTGAAAAGACAAATAACAAACATAAATTCTGAAGTAACGCCCGAAATAAGCGAAGTAAAAATAGAAAATGCAATTAAAGAAATGAAAAGAAATAAAGCACCGGGTAGTGATGGAATTCTGGCAGAAATGTTGAAAGAAGGCGGAGAAGAAGTCATTAGGTACCTAAAAATACTTTTTAATAAATGCCTATTTGAAGGAAACATACCAAAGGAATAGAATACTGCTAACACAATATTAATACACAAAAAAGGGATAATACAGATCTGAAAAATTATCGTCCAGTATCACTACTATCACAACTTTATAAAACATTCACAAAAATAATTACAAATAGATTGACAACAAAGTTCGATGTATATCAACCAGTAGAGCAAGCCGAATTTAGAAAAGGGTTCAGTACATGTGACCATCTTCACACACTAAAATAGAAAAAGTTAACGAATACAATTTACCAATCTGTTTAGCATTTATAGACTACGAGAAAGCTTTTGACAGCATAGAATTATGGGCTATTGAGAAAGCACTGGTCAACAGCAGAATAGATTCTAGATATAGGATATTACTACATAATATATATATCAACACGCTGAAATGGTAGTCACGATGGATAACGGAATGAAAACGAGGACCAATAAAAATCAACCGAGGAGTAAGACAGGAAGACACCATATCTCCAAAACTATTTACTGCCGCACTTGAAGACATCTTTAAATCACTAAATTGGGAAACGAAGGGACTATCGATAACCGGAAAGTATTTAAACCATCTAAGATATGCAGATGACGTAGTACTAATAGCCGACAGCTGGAAAGAACTGAAGACGATGATTGATGAGCTTCATACGGAATCCATAAAAAAAGGACTGAAAATGAATCTGTGTAAAACTAAGCTCATGTCGAATAAAGATGATCAACCGACGATAACCATCCAAGGAACAAAAGTGGAACATGTAGAAGAATACATATATTTGGGTCAGAATATCAACGTAAACAAAGAAAACCAAACTACCGAAATAAGCAGACGAGTAAGAATGGGATGGGCCGCATTTGGAAAACTCTCATACATACTGAATGACAAAAAGATACCCCAAAACCTTCGAACCAAAGTGTTCGATTCTTGTATCCTTCCCGTTCTCACTTACGGAGCTCAAACCTGGACATTCACAAAAAAGAACATGGACAAGATTCGAAAATCTCAGCGAGCCATGGAACGACAGATGCTTGGTATCTCACTAGTAGATCGGCAAACGAACGAAGCAATCCGGAACAAAACAAAAATAAAGGACGCCGCGAAACAAGCAGCTAAATTAAAATGGAAATAGGCTGGACACAACGAACGTCTCGAAGATGTTAGATGGAACAAAGAAGTCGGAAACGCGACCGTACGATGCGAATAGACCAAGAGGAAGACCTCAAATGCGCTGGAGCGACGATATCAAAAGAGTCGCAGGACCAATGTGGAAACGCCTAGCACACAACAGGCGTGAATGGCGAGAAATGGGAGAGGCCTTTATTCGACAATTTGGATAGAAAAGGGGCTATAAAAAAATATATATACTGTTCAAATAAAATAGAACTAAAATTATTTACGGGGACACCATGAATATTTTATAACATTAGGAACTTATCTACTAGCAAAATATCAGTTTGACAGATAAGAAAACCAACGACAGTGAGCCCATCAAATCAGCAGCCAGATATCTTTTAATTCAACCGTTTATTTACATTTCCTTGTTGAATAATTATAAACCAATAATACTAGTATCATTAGAGGAAGTGGGAAATAATTTATTTTTATATTATCGCCAAGTTTATTTACGTTATGCCAACTTTGATAAACTTTAGTAATATAAAATAATACAATTCTCTATATTTAGCATCTTATTAAGTAGTTCATATAGAAGGATTGAAAAATCCTAGTCAATCTACGAACGAAACTATGAAATTCAACATTACTGAGAACATTTATTTATCTGCAATGCGTTTTCCTAGCAAAACGGTGCTAGGAGAAGTTTTTGCATTAGTAAAATAATTGGAGTATTTACTGAGTTTCTTAGGTATTCAAAACAGTCGTTATTAATAGTTTATATTGAAATCAGTATGAAAATAAAATAGTTAATTTTAAGGTTTTTCGAGGTTCCTATATCCGAGTTTCATGAAGTTTTGAAACGCCCCTAGTGGTATTTTATATGTAAAATTAAATTTGATAAAACGGGTAAAAATCTCTTAAGGTATGCAAACAGTTTTGGAGTTTTTCTGTTTGCTTTTAGGGTAGCTTCTACGTTTTCAGATATATTTATAATGAAGAAGACACATTTTTGGACATAATACTTTTAGATTGGGCATAGATTTGAGGAGAAACATTAAATGTAAATAGAAAACATAAGTTAGGAGAAAAAAATATATTATTCGAAAATTGAAAAAATTATAAGTAGCTTTTTTGATAAAAAACAGTTATAACAAAATTATGTTTATGTTATTTATTACTAATACCCAGATTTCCCCCTCGGCCCTTATAAGAGCCTGTTAAATGAAGCATCGCACTAAACTCAGGCAAGTTGTTTGGGTGGATTAGCCGAACTTGAATTCGTCTTTCAAAGTTACCACATGCTCATTTAAAATAGTTGTTTCATATCTTGATCCTATCATATAACCTCCACAAGAACTTAGTCAGTACAGGCCTCAAAACTTATACCAACCCAAATCACAGCTTAGCTTCCTTGGTAAGTTATTTTGTCAGAAATACTGAATTGGGAAAATCGTTCTCCTTCTTTTCTACAGATTCTTTCGTGAACGTCTGATGGTCTTAAGTAAAGCCTGGACTCATTCGAGAACAAAACATTACTTATTTTCCATCTTCTTCTTTTTTTATGTAGACATGACTCTGTATTTTTCAATGTGCCTCCAGTAAGTTGTCGTTCCATCGTTCTCGTGGTATTTCTACTAATCGCCTATTTATTGGGAAACCATCTCTTGCCACCTTTACTACTCTCTTTGACGTCATTCGGCTTATATGATCGTTTCATTGTATTTTTCTATTTCTTACGCAGTCCTTGATGTTCTCCATCTTGCATCTATGTATATATCCATACTTCGTATATCCATATGCGTATATCCATACTTCTAGCTTTGTCCTATAGTTTTTACCATCATATTTTCTGTGTTTTGATCTCTGCTAATTCTAAAATACGTTTTGTCCTCTCTGTGTAAAATCGTGTTTCTACTGCGTATGTCATTATTGGTCTGATAACTGTAAAAACATTTGCGTAATTCTAGTTTCGTGTTCCCTTACAAAGGTTATTCAAGCTCTGCGGTGTTCCACTTAGAGCTTTGGACATAGGACTGGTCTTCTGAATAATAAATTCGCTTCATAAATCGTCGACAAACTGTCTACCTACTTACATCAATATTTCGGACCTCGTTCAGGCGATTTAGCAGCTCGATTGAAGTTAGATATATATTTGTTAAACACGAAGAAATTTCTAGCCGTTCTGGAACAATTTCTAAACGTCAGAAACATATAATTAATATTGGAGACCATATGCCACAACAAAAACGTAGTAGGAAAGGTGCTTTAGATGTTCACAAAATAAATGAGACACCCGAACTAGGACTAGGCATATAATCGGGCTTTATGCAAAAATTGTTTTTTATCATTCATAAGATGTTTTTTTGTGTATTTTACCTTTCTTTGAATATAAATTTTACGTTACTGGTGGGATTTATTTATCCCACTATTTAACACCAATGGAACAATGTAAAATAAATTTAATCACTTTGTTAGATCTCCAGATCGAAATCTCCAATAACGAAAGGGCTAAATGATAGAATGTGTAACAAGAACACTATGATAATTGGGAGTGCAGGACATTATCAGATGACTAAGATCAAAGCTCCGCTGATGCACAGATTTCAGGTAAGACATACGGGCACCGCCGTGAAGGACGGAATGATAGATCATGGACTGAAACTCATGGCAGAGAAGACCAAAGCCACCTTTCTGAAAAATAAACGGAAAGGACAAGAGATGGAACTTCAATGTGCAGAGGCACAGCTAATATTAAAGAAATGCGTCAAATATCTGGGAGTGACGTTACACCAATATGGCGGATGGGGAAGCATATACACGTGGTAGCCTGGAAGCCAGCGATGAGTACGGCTTTGCTAGGGAAGGTGACGCCCAACATTGAGGGACTCAAATCATAAAGAAGAAGGGCCCTACACGGTATTGCGCAATCATACTATAGACGACACCAGTCTGGAGTTGGGTAGTAAAGATACCGGCATACAATGGGCTCATAATACGAGTAGACAGAGCGAGTCTGTTGCGAGTAACATGCGCTTACGGGAGAGAAACATGTATGGAGAATAGGTATGAACCCTGTGACTGTGAGAGAGATGATCGCGAAGATGATGAAAAGTAAGAAGGAATGGAATAGTGTACACAATAAGATACGAGCAGCCATTAAAAAAAGCAGAAGAAGGGAAACATCCCAACAACGGAGACAAGATCTAGATAAGAGAAGAGAGTACTCCAAAAGTGTCATCCTTACAGCGGTCATTCCACTTTTGGAGTATGGTACCTACGACAGTCAACGGTGCACAAGTAGGGGAGGTTTTAGTTGGTAGGCAGGATAACAGGAAGGCATTTGTTTGCAAAACCTACTTCTAGATGGAAACACACGACAGCCATCTCTAGAAATACTTTAACCTGGTACGGTTATTAGAAATTTCCACCCTCAGGAAAAAAAAACAAAAAAAAGTAAAACGGATGGGTTTAAATAGAATTTCAAAGTGGACCAAAACACAAAAACCGACATTAAAGATGTTCAGTATGCTCCCAAAACGTTTTTTGGGCATCTGGACATCGTCATACGAAGGTACATGACGGAAATGGTGACAGTTCTTCGTCATATTACAAGAAGAAGAAGAAGAGAAAAATTATTTAACACAGTGGTAGTTTTATTCCACATATACCAATAAGTTATATGGAACAAAAAATTAAAAAATTAACGTTACCTACTTTGAGTAAATTAATTTAGAAATTAAATAGCGTTACACCTAACATACAAATAAATGGTACCACCCTTCAGAGTTCCCAAAGCTTCATATACTTGGGCAGAGAGCTAAATATTCAATTAGACCACTCAAACGAAATTAGAAGACGCATTGAAATAGCAAGATCTGGTTTCATGAATATGCGTAAAACGTTCTGTAACCCCAAGCTATCAGTTTCAATAAAATTGAGAACACTAAAGTGTTATGTGTGGTCTCTATTACTATATGGCTGTGAGACCTAAACATTAAAACAGTATGACGTCAAAAAATTTAATTTATTTGAAATGTGGATGTACCGCCGAATGTTAAGAATAAACTGGACCAGCAGGATTACGAATGAAGAAGTACGGAGAGTAATAAATACACGGCCTTACTGGTCAATACTATCAAAATTAGAAAGACGTCATATCTAGGACACATAATGTGCCATAGGGAATTTGAGAAGCTCCAGGTAATATTAGGCAAGATTGAAGGTAAAATGGGCATAGGACGAAAGAAAAAATCTTGGCTACGAAACATGAGAGATTTGACCCACACAAGAGGAAATTAATTAATTCATTAAGCCCAGAACAGAGAAAAATTCGCCACATTAATTGCCATCCTCAACAGAGAAGGCACTTGGAGGAATACAGCATTAGGCAAATAGTACTAAGTGACATTAAACTAATCTATGTAATAAAATTACACTAACTTTAACAGAGATTATCTATTTACGTAAGTACTTAAAAGTAAATCTAGTTAAAGCCAAAAATTATTATTTAACAATCCAAATCTTTTGTTTTATATTGACACATTAGTTACATACAAATGCAGAAATTAATCAGCAGAACAGGTTTACAACTATGTACATCCTATAACTGGTAACAGTTAAGAAATTACTAGTGTTTGCTTACCTATAAATCACGTCATCATTCGCTAGATCCGTTAAATCAACGAATCCTTCTACAGCGTGACTTAATACCAAATCTCGGGTTGAAAGATGTTGACCGAGGCCTCTACGTCTTCTCACAACGTTGTTCTAAAAGAAAAATAAGAGGACATTTACATGTACCGGGTGGTCCAATAAGCCAATATCTCGGCTATATATCAGAAACTATTCATGTTATAACTTTAGGAGAAAAAATTCCTTAGTAAAAGTGGCCAAGAGAAATCCCTGGGAATAACTTTCAAGATTCTGGATTAACCGCTAGGGGGCGGAACCTGCGAAGTAAATTTTGAAAACCAGTTTTTTGGGAAATATGTCCAATTATACCAAGTGTTAAATAAGTAAACTAGAAAGGGCACAAATTCTGCACAAAGTTGTTTAAGTATTTTTTTTTAATTTTTTTCAAATAAAGGGGGGGGAGAGTGGGAAAGTATTTGTGGATAAATACCTATACCTTTGGTTTGGATCAACAGATTTTAATGAAATTAGTGTCATTAGAAAGAGTGTGGATAAAATAATTCACATCTACTATAAAATACTTCCATTTAGTTTTCATAGTCGTAGGTAGAGGGGACTTTCAAATAAAAAAAATTAAAATTTGTTTTTCTTCAAAATTTTTAATGGAAACACCTATTTATTGTAAATTATAATGGAACTGGATTAAATTCGTAACAAAATGGAGCAAACCGCATGTTAATAGCTTTTGTTGAACTCGAGATATGAATAAAAACTCATAAATATAAGTAAGTATAGTATTGACACACCCTTTATTATAAATTACATTAAAAAATAAGTCAGTAGGTATTTTCAAATTTTTTTATAGCAGAAGAATCTTAATGTTGATAACTATTTTGTAAAAAATAGTTTTTTCGAAACTAAGTAGGCTACGACAATGAATTTGACAGGGAGGTTATATTGTTTATTTATTGACAGCAGTCAAAACATTGTTAAGAAGTGCTATATTATAATTCGAATTAAAGATTGCACTTTTTTCAATAGATATTAATATTGGTAATATTAGTAATTAATTATCAGTACAAATAATTCGTGATGAGTATATCAAATTATATGATATGATTGGAGTTTATTTCGAATGTCACCAAAATGCCGCTATTGCCTCACGTATATATTTTGTAAGATATCCTGACAGGAGACATTATGGCAAAAAAGTATTTGAAAGAAAGGCAAAAAGATTAAGAGAAACTGGTAGTTTTTCTTGTCCTTGTTTTAAACGACGTAGTAGAGTTATGACCGAAGATAATTCAATCAATGTTCTTGCTTTAATTCAACAGAATCCACATATAAGTAGTCCGAAATCTCTACTTCTTTGCCACAATATCTCCTGCCAGGATATCTTACAGAATATATGCGTGAGGCAATAGCACCATTTTGGTGATATTCGAAATAAACTCCAATCATATCATACAATTTGATATACTCATCACGAATTATTAGTACTGATAATTAATTACTAATATTACCAATATTAATATCTATTGAGAAAAAATGCAATTTTCAATTCGAATTATAATACACATAACACTTCTTAACAATATTTTGACTGCTGTCAATAAATAAACAATATAAACTCCCTGTTAAATTCATTGTCGTAGCCTACTTAGTTTCGAAAAAACAATTTTTAATCATATGAAATAACAATGGTCAAAATAGGTATCAACATTAAGAGTTTTCTGCTATAAAAATTTTTGAAAGTAACTACTGACTTATTTTTTAATTTATTTTATAATACAGGGTGTGTCAATACTATACCTACTTATGTTTATGCGTTTTTATTCGGTTTGCGCCATTTTGTTACGAATTTAATCCAGTTCTATTATAATTTACAATAAATAGGTGTTTCCATTAAAAATTTTGAAGAAAAACAAATTTTAATTTTTTCTATTCGAAAGTACCCTCTACCTACGACAATTAAAACTAAATGCAATTATTTTATAGTAGATGTAAATTAATTCATCCATACTCTTTCTAATGACACTAATTTTGTTAAAATCGGTTGATCCAAACCAAAGTTATAGGTATTTATCCACAAATACTTTCCCACTTTCCCCCACCCTTTATTTGAAAAAATAAAAAAAAAATACTTGAACAACTTTGTGCAGAATTTATGCCTCTTTCTAGTTTACTTATTTAACACTTGGTATAATTGGACATATTTCCCAAAAAACTGGTTTTCAAAATTTTCTTCGCAGGTTACGCCCCCTAGCGGTTAATCCAGAATCTTGAAAGTTATTTCCAGCGATTTCTCTTGGCCACTTTTACTAAGGAATTTTTTCTCCTAAAGTTATAACATGAATACTTTCTGATATATAGCCGAGAGATCGGCTTGTTGGACACCCGGTACAATTAAAGAAATACGAGAGTGCATTTGGTGTAAAGAGTTCTGATGTAGGTGTTGACACGGTAATATACTAAGAATTTAACTTGGCGATTTAACGCACCAGGAAAATATGCATGGAAATCAAAAATAAAATTTTTATAAAAAATACTTTACAAATAGGTTTTCGAAGTGAATATTAAATTATCAGTGATATTACTAGGAATCCTTTAAATGTTTTGTTATAAAGTTGTTTTTATATTTCATTGTTGATGATAATTTTATATGATCTTAAAGATTTAAACAGATTTACTTCATGGCAAGGTAAAACTCCCAACTAGGGTTGCTGGCCCAGGGACATCTATTTGAGTCTTTATACAGACTTTAGTAGCGACTGAGCAATACAGACCTTAGGTAACAATCAGTTGCTACATAGAGACGGCGTCTCCAGGCCAGCAACCCTTCTATAAGATGATAAGCAAGAATGTAGTATAAAACCAATTTAATGACATATAAAGGGTTCTTACTCATATATTTAGGGGTTTAAACATGTATGCCCAGTAGCAGCATTGATGATGGAATATTCATTCCGAAAACGTTTTGTAATGTAGTATCAAGGGTTCTTTTTAATTAAAATTTTTGTGATTTATGATATACAGCGGACTACAGGAAATTCATTTTTCTTGAGGATTAAAAAAAATTAAGTAAAAATATTAGTGTCCCTTAATGTCTAAAATGCCTATTGATTTAATATCAAAATTTCTTAAATATTGCTAGCCGTTTCACCAGTTATTTCCCTAGTCAAGAAAAGAGAGGGAAATCGTAATCGTATGGACTGAATTGACTGAAGCCTAAACCGGCACCAGAAAGGCTGCCAGGTCATATTTTATTTCTTCAGTAGATTGATAATAATTGATCATCATCATCAATCAGCCCTGAGTTGTCCGTTGTTGAACATAGGCCTCCTCTAGACTTTTCCATCTGCTTCTGTTCTGCCCCTCTGCTATCCAATTGGTCACGATTCTTTTGAGGTCGTCGGTCCATCGCGTTGGGGGTCTTCCTCAGCTTTGCTTGTCAGCCCCTGGTCTCCACTCAAGCAATTTTTTTGTCCAACTGTCGTCTTTCATTCTTGCAACATGTCCTGCCCATCTCCATTTTTGCCTTGTAATATGTTCGATAATGTCTTCCACTCCGATTCGTCTACGAACTTCCTCGTTTCTTATTATATTTCTTAAGCTTATTCCAAGCATTGATCTCTCCATCTTTCGTTGTGTCCTTCTCAATTTTTCGGTTGATGTTTTTGTGAGAGTTAAGGTTTCTGCTCCGTATGTGAGGACTGGTAGAACGCACTGGTTAAAAGCTTTTCTTTTTAAATGGATCGGTATATTTGTTTTAAATACGTATCTCATTTTTCCGAATGCAGCCCAACCCAGACTTATTCGTCTGAGTAGCTCGCATGTTTGGTTATCTCGCGTTAACCTTATTTTGTGACCCAGATACACATATTTTTCCACAACTCTGGCTTCTCCTAAGTTGTCTGTTATGAGAACAATATCATCGGCATGTCTAAGATGATTGAATATCTTTTCATCGATGCTAATACCCTTTGATTCCCACTCTAGCCGTTTAAATGCGTACTCCATAACTGTTATAAATAGTTTTAGCGACAAGGTATCTTTCTGCCGCAAATCTCTGCCAATTTTTATCTTCTCGACTGTATCAAATGCTTTGTGGAAGTCGACAAAGATAAGAGCAAGAGGTCTGTTATATTTGATAGACTTTGCAACTAGAGTTTTAAGGCATTGCAAATGGTCGTTTGTTTCGTGTCCCGCTCGAAATCCTGCCAGTTTTTCTGATTGATAGAAATCGAGTTTTGCTTCTAATCTGTTTGTCAGTATTCGAGTAAAGAGCGAGCTCGTATGGGTGGTTAAGCAAACTAATTGGCCTATAGTTTTCGAGATCTGATTTATCCCAATTTTTGTGGAGGAGGATTGTAACCGAATTCTTCAATTTACTTGGGATGTTTTCACTATTCAGACATAGATTCAAAAGTGTTTGGATTCGGGACATCAGAAGTGGACCTCCTAGTTTAATTGTCTCAATGACTACACCATCTTCCCCCAGAGCTCTATTATTTTTCATATTTTTGAGGGCATGTTGAATTTCCTCTCGTCATATATCTGGTATATCCTCCGATCCTACATTATGTACCTTTTGTATTGGTTGTTCGATGAGCTCTGGAATAACTTGACTTTTATATGATGTTTCATAGAAACTTTCCACTAGATGTAATATGCTTGGTCTATCTGGGATAATATTTCCATTTTTGTCTTTAAGTTGGAAGATTTCTTTTTTGCCATTTTCCATTTTTCTCCTCTATGCTTTCATGCTTTTGTTGTCTTCTATAGTTTTTATAATTTTCTCGTTGTTGTATTTTCTAATATCCCGTCTGATGGCTTTAGAGATTTCTTTATTGATGCTGTTTATATCTTGTGAGTCAATATTTCCTTGACTTCTCAGCATTCTACGATCTTCCATTTTTTGTTTCGTTTCTTTACTAATTTTTTGTTCTTTTCCACGCTTAGGGCCAAATTTTTCCTGAGCTTGTATTAATGTATCTACTATTTCTTCGTTAGGGTTATTTACGTCTTCTCTTGTTGTATTTCTGAGTAAGTTACTGGTGATATATTATTCAAAGTCAAGTTCATTCATTGGGCGCATCCAAGGTTTGAATTTTTTACTTTTTATCATCTTCAGT